GGTTCTTTGACTCTCGTGATGTCCGTTTCGACGAGTCCGTCCCCTACTACGTCAGGTACCCTTGTTGAGGTCTCCCGGTTCCTCCTGCCCATCTCTTCCTGACTTCAGCTCCCCCTCCTGCTCCTCGGGTACAGCCTCCCCCCCTTGGTCCTGCCCCGTCACGTGTGTCCCACGCTACCCCTCCCCCCTCGATAGCCCCTCAGGTGCAGCCTCCTTCCCCGCAGTCCTCCTCCCAGCCTACAGCAGACCCTGCGGGAGCCGGTTTTCGTGGCGAGGACCCTGGAGGTGCTAGCTCTAGAGGTGCTGGAGTTGGAGCAGAGAGCGTACCTGTGCGAGGTCCTGGTTCTGGGGGTGCTGGAGTTGGAGCTGAGCCCGTGACTGCAGGAGACTCTAGTCTTCGGGGAGCTGGTGTTAGTGGAGCTATCCCTGGGGGTGCTACGATTGGGGGTGCGCCCTCTGCTGGACCTGGAGAGCCTGGGACGGACCCTGTTACTTCTGGTGGTGCTGGCTCTGGGGGTGGTACGACTGGCTCTTTGGAGATCGGTCCTAGGGCTACCACCGCTCCGGACACTACTCCTTCCCCCCACCCCTACCCGACCCGGCACCAGGCCCGTGTTCGCCGTGCCCGTGAGGAGCAGCTGCAGTTGGAGCGAGAGGAGAGAGAGTTGAAGCGGCAGCAGCTGGAGCTACAGCGGCTGGAGGAGCAGCAACAGCAGCAACCGGAGCAGGAGCAGCCGCAGCAGTAGCCGCAGCAGCAGCAGCCACCTCCTCCTCCTGTCTCCGGTCTTCGGACCCTTGGTCTCACCTCTCCTTCTCCTCCCTCCCCCCCCTCTCCTCCCATCTCTGGTCCTCCGCTTCCTCCTCCTGACCCCTCCCCAGCTGTTTTCCCTCCTCTGCCCCCGTTATCCCCTCCTCTTTCTCACACTTGGCCTTCGCGTCGCTCTCCTCGTGCTCGTCCCTCGTCCCCTGTTCCCTTCACTGACCTTCGTACTGCCCTGTTTCATTCTAGTTCGCCTCGTTTGTCTCCTTCTGTACTTCATTCTCCTCTTGAGTCGGCTCTCACTGCTTCCCTCTCTACTCCTGTCACAGAATACTACCGCACGTACCGTCCTGTTCTCTCTCGTGTTCTCGCCTCTCTTGTTACCGACCCACGTGCTTCTCTAACCTCTGTCTCCACTCTTACTGCCGCAGTCACTGAGTTTGCATCTACTCGCTGCCTTGACTACGCCACCGGTCTTGTGGCTGCTCCTCCTACCAGTCCTCTGGCCGTCGAAGGTGAGTCTGCCCTTGGCTGTGACGCCCTCGAGGACAGGCAGTTTGAGCTGGAGTTCCTGGCAGCCGCTTCCCCTCATCTCTGTGCCATGCTGCTCGCCCCTGAGGGAGACCCCGACGCGCTTGACATACCGACTCCTCGCACTTACGCTGAGGCAATGTCATGGCCTTGGGCCTCTCAGTGGAGAGCTGCCATGGACTCAGAGATGGCCTCCTACAGATCCACAGGCACCTACATCGACGAGGCTCCCCCCCTTGGGGCGAACGTAGTCGATGGCATGTGGATCTTCAAGGTGAAGCGGCCACCGGGATCTCCTCCGGTCTTCAAGGCGCGCTATGTGGCCAGAGGTTTCAGTCAGCGTGAGGGAGTTGACTTCTTTCAGACCTTCGCGCCTACCCCGAAGATGACCGCTCTTCGGGTTTTACTGCACGTAGCAGCACAGAGAGACTACGAGTTACACTCTCTTGAATTCTCCAATGCTTTCCTTCAGGGTAGCCTACACGAGGAGGTCTGGTTACGTCGTCCCTCTGCCTTCACTGGCACTTTCCCTCCTGGGACCCAGTGGAGGCTTAGGCGACCAGTCTACGGTCTCCGTCAGGCTCCTCGTGAGTGGCACGACACCCTTCGCTCTACCCTTTCTGACCTTGGTTTCCAGCCTTCTTCTGCTGACCCGTCGCTGTTCGTTCGTCGTGGCTCCACACCGTTCTTTCTACTGGTCTACGTCGACGACCTGGTTTTTGCCACTGCTGACAGGGTTGCTTTGGCTGATGTGAAGCTCGAACTGCAGAAGAGACACACTTGCACTGACCTTGGTGAGCTGCGCCACTACCTTGGCCTGCATATCACCAGGGACAGAGCTGCTCGCACCATTACACTCTCACTGTCACACATGGTGCAGCAGGTCCTTCAGCGGTTCGAGCTTCAGCACTCTACTGTACAGCGCACACCTCTTGCCGTTGACCACAGACTCACCGGACCCTTTCCTGACGAGCCGTTTGAGCCTAGTGGTCCTTACGCAGAGCTTGTGGGCTGCCTCATGTACCTGATGACTTGTACTCGCCCGGACCTCGCCTTCCCTCTCAGCATCCTTGCTCGCTTTGTTGCGCCAGGGAGACACCGTCCAGTTCACTGGACAGCTGCTGTGAGGGTGGCAAATACCTAGCGACGACATCAGGCGTGGGGCTGATCTTGGAGGGAGACAAGACGTCGTGCTTACTGGTCACTGTGACTCTTCTTACGCTAACGACGCCGAGACGCACAGGTCTACTCAGGGGTACTGTTTCAGCCTGGGCTCTGGAGCTGTTTCGTGGAGGTCCACACGTTCCTCCTCGGTCTCGACCTCTACTGCTGAGGCCGAGATCTACGCTGGAACTATGGCTGCACAGGAGCTGCGCTGGCTGACGTTCTTGCTCACTGACCTTAGTGAGCGGCCGAGCTCTGCGCCGACCTTGTTCACTGATAACAAGGCGACGATTCTCCTCTGTCGAGAGCCGCGGCTGGAGAGCAGAGTGAAGCACATTAACGTCAGGTACTTTCTTCTGCAAGAGTTGCAGAGGCGTGGACAGGCTCGTTTCGACTTTGTTGAGTCCGAGGCCAACACTGCAGACATCTTCACCAAGGCCCTGCCGCCTTGTGACCACCAGAGGTGTTGTGTGCAGCTAGGTCTCGTTGACACAGGTTTTCGCCTTGCATAGTCTTGAGTTCTCTCCTTGCTTTGTTTATACACTTTACATGTACCTCTGTGAACTCTTGAACTAGACTTGTGGCTCTTTTGCTTGTGCTCGGAGTGTGTGGTGACGTTGTGATCCACCATAAGCTTTGTTTCTTTGTGACTGGTCTTGTGACCGTACACTTTTGGTTTTGCTTGACACCCCTCACTTAGACTATGGGGGTGTGTCAAATGTTGTAGTCTTAGTGATGTGTATTATAGGGGGTACAACTGTTAGGGTTAGGTTTATGTACCCCAACCAACCTTAGCGAAACCAACACTTTCATTCTTGACATATACAAGTTTAAACTACTAGCACGAAAATGTAGTGGTAGTTCGCGTCATTGCGCACCCAATCGAGCAGGGCTGATTTTATCAGGGTAATTACCCTGATTTCAGGGTGATTTCAGGCTTTCCACTTGGTGGAGACTGAAATTTCAGAGTTATTGAATTTCCAGCCCTGATCCAATCAGAGTAATAGTTTAGCTATCCCTGATTTTGAGTACAGCGTAACAGACTAGGCTGTTAGTGGACCCTAACTTAACAGAGTATCGACTGTGTGGACCCTGACTTATCGAGAAGAAGTTTCTCGGAAGTTTCCTTTCGATGTCCCCGCCTTGGATTGATCGCAGTGATCCCCCCACATGTGCGTAATCCCCCCCCCTTCCCGCTTTATCGATATGAAGTTTCTTCGAAACTTCGTACTGATCGAAACTTCGAGACTTTATAGAGAGTGGGGATATTTTCCCCGACTTATCGAGAGGAAGTTTCTCGGAAGTTTCTTTCCGATGACCCCGCCTTGGATTGATCGCAGTGATCCCCCCACATGTGCGTAATCCCCCCCCCCCTTCCCGCTTTATCGATACGAAGTTTCTTCGAAACTTCGTTCTGATCGAAACTTCGAGACTTTATGGAGAGTGGGGATATTTCCCCCGGTAACAAAGCGCGCGTTACTACTCTGATGTTCAGTTCTCGACCCTGAACAATCAGTGTTAACTACTTTACAACCCTGAGCAATCAGGGTACTGCTTTTCTGGAAAATGTGCACCCATAATAGAGGGGGAAAATTTTCCCCGGAATCAGGGAAGCTTAAAATGAAACGTCAGCCCTGCAATCGAGTCAATTTGAAACAGGGTTGTGGGTGAAGAACTCTTGCTACCTAGCAGGGGAAGATTCCCTGCCATCACATACACTCAAAATGAGTCACTAGGAGCTTCTGACAGCACTTGCTGACTGGACGCGCAGCCTGTGCAGGGTTTGAATGCGAAGGAAATCTGATTTTCAACTCATCGCCTCCTAAAGTGAACTTCGTTACAATAACTTGACAGTTTTTCAATTTTAGAACTAACATGCACTTATAATAAATCATGTTTTTTAAGGGGGTGCACTTATAATTGAGGATCGGGCATAAACGCATTGCTCCAGATAGAAGCGCATGCGCTTTTAATAGGCCTGCGCTTTTATCCGGGGTTATACGGTACTTGTACCCCCCTTTGACCTAATGCAATCTCCTTTTCCTAGTTCACCGGCGGTGAGTACACCGTTGTCTCGTGCAATGTCATGTACTTTGCCACCTTCGCCATGCGTAGGCAAGGCACGTATAAACTAGTGCATTGTGCGTCCTTGTCCGGTCCCCTCCTCCACATCGTAGCAGGTGATTGGGTAGACATCATGGCAGACCGTTCTTGGTTGTACGGGCACTGGTCCGTGACGGGCAACGTAAGGCTGAGGCACACTATACAAACCCTAAACCCCGCTGACAAATGTATACTCAAGCTTTACAGAACACCCATGGATGCAGGCTTACACCCTCCCCCGCCATAAGCAAACAGCCCCTAAACGTGGGTATCAGTACACCTTAGGGTGTACTATGCGGGGAATTACGATAATAAATTCTACTACCTACACCCATGTTCCTTTGATCCTTTGAATCCCTTCTTATTGGGCTCCAAAGGCAATAGGATCTGCTCTTCAAGCAGCTGGTGGTGGCTTTCAAGTCCGACTCAAAGTACCTTCACTTCACCTACGCCCCTTTAACCCCTTGGATCCTTTCTTTTTAGTGTCCACAGGCAGCACGATCTGCTCTTCAAGCTGCTTTGATTGCGCCGCTGCTGCTGCTCCAATCTTCCTCAGCCTGCTCATGAGCACTGCCCCTGCCCCCTGGTCCAAGGAGTCATGCCACTTGAACATGTCCTGTGGCGTGAGCATGCGGGCAGGGGAGTGGGGAGTGAGTGGGGAGTGGGGAGTGAATATGTGTGGCGAGAAGATATAAGAATTGCCCCTGCTCCTTCGTCCAGGGAGTCATGCCACTTGAACATCTCCTGTGGCGTGAGCACGACAGCAGGGGAGTGGGGAGTGAGTGGGGTGGGGAGAGGGGAGAGGGGAGAGGGGAGAGGAGAGAGGAGAGAGGGGAGAGGGGAGAGGGGAGAGGGGAGTGATAAAGAAAATGCCCCTGCTCCTTGGTCCGGGGAGTCATGCCAATTGAACATTCACTGTGGCATGGGCACAAGGGCAGGGGAGCGGGGAATGGGGCGGGGAGCAAGGACTGATTGGAGAGTGGGGAGTGAGGAATGCGGGAAGGTGAGTGGTGAGTGGGAAGTGGGGTGTGGGGTGGGGAGTGGGGAGTGGGGAGTGGGGAGTGGGGAGTGGGGAGGGGGAAGGAAATGATGAGTGGGGAGTGAATATTTCTGGTGAGGAGATAGCAGAATCGCCACTGCACCCTGGCCAGAAAGTCACGCCACTTCATAATCCCCACTCCCACCTGCCCCAGTCATAGACCCACCTGCCCCAGTCCCACCCACCTGTCCTATCAGTGCCCACCTGCCCTATCAGTGCCCACCTGCCCTATCAGTGCCCACCTGCCCTATCAGTGCCCACCTGCCCTATCAGTGCCCACCTGCACGAGCCCCAGGTTGTGCTGCAGCCTCTCCACGAGCCCCGGCTGAGCAAACACCTCCCAAACCTGCCTCCTTCCCCAGTCAGTACCACCTGCCCCAGTCCCACCCGCCCCACTCCCACCTGCACGAGCCCCAGGTTGTGCTGCATCCGCTCCACCAGCTCCGGCTGATCAAACGCCTCCCCAGCCTGCCACCTTCCCCAGTCAGTACCACCTTCCCCAGTCAGTACCACCTTCCCCAGTCAGTACCATCTGCCCCAGTTTCAACCCACTCCCCACCTGCACGAGCCCCAGGTTGTGCTGAAGCCGCTCCACGAGCCCAGGCTGGTCAAACGCCTCCTGCAATCTGCGGGGGAGCGAGTTTACAGCTGCCGGGTCGATGTTGAGCGAGAACACCGGGTAGTTGAGGGCCGAGGGCGAGGCAGAGGTCGATGCTGCATGGTGGTGGTACTGTGAGGCGGCCCAGGGGTTGTCGTTGGCACGGAGGAACGTCACTGGGATGCATCCTGAGAGGATTGCCTGGTGGGGGGTTGGTTGTTGAGGGGGAGGGGGGAGCAGGAGGGATGAATGTGTGTGTGGAAGAAGCAGGGAAACGACAGTGCTGGTGGTGGGTGTGTGGTGGTACAGGGAAGCGGCCCAGGGGTTGTCGTTGGCACAATGGAACGTCAGGGATGCATCCTGACGGGATTTAATGGGATGGGGGAGTTATTGGGCGGCGAGTGAAGGAGGGAGGAGAGATTGAAGGACGGTGAGGAGGAGTGAGTGTGGAAGAGAGAGGAGTGAGTGTAGAGGACTGAGGAGGAGTTAGTGTGGAGGAGAGAGGAGTGATTGTGGAGGAGAGAGGGGGAGTGAGTGTGGAGGAGAGAGGAGGAGTGAGTGTGGAGGAGAGAGGAGGGGTGAGTGTGGAGGAGGGACGAGGAGTGAGTGTGGAGGAGAGAGGAGGGGTGAGTGTGGACGAGAGAGCGCCGAGAGACTCAGAAGCTCACCTTGGCGAGCTGGAAGGTCCACTGGGCGCGACCAGGAAGTATGAGGCAGAAGACACTGCTGCCGCTGGGGGGTCTAGATTTAGGGTTGAGAAAGCTCATTTGAGCCTTTGGTCAGCTGTGAGCTCACCTTGGCTAGCTGGAAGGTCCACTGGGCGCGACCAGGTGGTAAGAGACAGAAGACACTGCTGCCCCACTCGCTGTTCTCACCCGCACCCGCACCAGAACTACCACCATCAGCACCATCAGCATCAGCAGCAGCAGCAGCATCACCACCACCACTACCATCATCAGCAGCAGCAGTAGAATGAGTAATTTCAGGGGCATCCCCCCGGACCCCTAGAGACTCTTCGTTGTCATTTCGGAACACCACCTTCCACCCTTCGATGGCTGCTGCATTAGACGCATAGATCTGGAGAGGAAAATGGGGGAGGTGGGAAGGAAGGAGGGGAGGTGTGTGTGTGTGTGGGGGGGGGGGGGGGCAGGTTGTAACAACCACGGCCCTCAATGCGTTACAGTGGTCGAACACCAACCTCAACCTGCTTCGCTTCGCCTCACCACCACCCACCCCTCCATGGCTCGTGTGGCCTTAGACGCTTAGAGCTGGAGGGTAAGTGGGATGGGAGTAGAGCGGGAAATCTGCGGGAATTTGATTCTTGAGATGGCTTGAGTCCACAAGGCCCAAAGGACCCGTAAAGCGTCGTCCTTGTCGCTTCAAAAGTCGGAAAATCTGCGGGAATTTGATTTGAGCCTTGAGATGGCTTGAGTCCACAAGGCCCAGAGGACCCCTAAAGCGTCGTCATGGTCGCTTCGGAACACCACCGTCCGTCCAACCCTCAATGGCGGCTGCATTGGACGCGTAGAGGTGGGGAAGACGGGGGGGGAGGGGGTGGGGAGGGGGCAGTGGGAAGGGAGCAGAGCAGGGAATATGTGGAAACGTTGAGATTTGACAAGTCTCGGAATCAGGACCCTGAAAGCCTCCTTGTTTGTTGTCACAGCGGAACACCACCGTCCACGCGTGATAAAAAGTAGTGTTTTGGGACGTCTCAAAACACCACCGTTCAATACCTTCAACCATCTCAACCATCCCTCACCCCTCACCTCTATCAACCACCCTCACCTCTAGCATTCATCCGTCACCTCTATCAACCAGCCCTCACCCTCCTCAACCGCCCCTCACCTCTATCAATCAACCCCCATTCCTCTCAACCACCCCTCACCTCTATCAATCAACCCCCATTCCTCTCGACCACCCCTCACCTCTATCAATCAACCCCCATTCCTCTCAACCACCCCTCACCTCTATCAATCAACCCCCATTCCTCTCAACCACCCCTCACCTCTATCAATCAACCCCCATTCCTCTCAACCACCCCTCACCTCTATCAATCAACCCCCATTCCTCTCAACCACCCCTCACCTCTATCAATCAACCCCCTTTCCTCTCAACCACCCCTCACCTCTATCAACCACTTCTCCACCGGATAATTGTGGTGCAAGCTTTCTTGTATCCTGAAGCTGCTTAGGTCAGCTATGTTGGCCGCTGACGTCACCATCAGCACACGGATAGTGCGACCTCCATACGCAGGTGGGGCGGCAGCAGCAGCAGCAGAATCACCTGAAAAAACACCTGACTCATCGTCTGCAGTTACAGCGGCGGCACTAGCGGCACCAGCAGCAGCAGTATGCGCGTGCAAGGGGGGGATGACGTGTGTCTGAGTCAGCAGCGGCGGCACCACCACATCCCGCCCTGGCGAATAGCAGGCGATGTCTGGAATAGCGACGTTGATAGGCGCTCCGTAGTTATATGACAGCACCTGCAAGCAGCAGGAGTGGTAACAAGGTTGTTTTAATCGTCTTAAACTATCTCGCCCGGGCAAATAGCGGGCAATGTCCGGAATAGAGACGTCCATAGGCGCTCCGTAGTTATATGATAGCATCTGCAAGCGCACCGCAGCAGCAGCAAGGCGGAAGGGGGATGGGGCGCGGGGGAGAGGAAGGGAGGATTTTGCTGGGGAAAGGGGAGGCAGCGGAAACAGAAGGGGGGAGGCTGAGAGCAACACTTTGAGCGCGGTTTAGAGCAAGCGAGGTGTAGAGTGCGGTGTACAATTCATGCGAAGAAAAAGCTGTCACGTGGGTCGCAATTCGCCTACCCGCATGTTTGGTGTCCATCCCGCGTGCACGCTCCGCACCAGAGTATCCCCATTATAAGTCACGACGAACATCTCGCCAAACAACTTAGGGTTTATGTACGTCAGCGCGTCGCATCTCCCGTTCCGCGTCGACAGAATCGAGAAATGATCTCGGCCGTTGGATCTGTAAAAGTGCGGCTCGGCCTGCACCTTGGCAAGCACTGCCCTCCAAACCTGCGATGTCTTTTCCACCGCGTCGCGCATATCCGAACCTCCTTTCGAGACGCTTAGGAAGTACTGTAGCAGCCGGGCAGAGTAAAACGGCACGAAGAACAAACTAGCCTGTTTCGGGTCGCGGGTTCGAACCCCACCAGCGTCGGATAGAATCTGATCCGTCAATTGTCGTTCGAGGTCGAAATGCAACGCGTACGGCGGAACGTCCAGCCCGGAGATCTTATCCGTACAGTTGGGTCCGAAATCGTACACGTATATAAACGGCTTCTTTTCTTCCGCAGCAGCCGCCGCGAGAATCGGATTTGAAGTGTCCGCGAGACTATTCGGTAACCGCGCGTACACGTTATAAGCGTTCGCCCCGTTCTCTATGGGCCGAATCGGAGCAGCCGCGCCGCCGGCCGAGGGACGCTTAAGTTCAGCAACGGGGAGCTCGTTAACGGGGAAAACGCCACCGCGAACTCCGGAGCCGCCGGTGATGGCACTGGAGTCTGTGCTGACGTCATTATCGCACATACAAGACGGCTTTTCTTGACGGAAGACGTACAGGGATGCAATAAGGCCGATAGTCGCAAGGGTAACGACAGCGAGGCGATTCGAGAGGCTCTTAGGAGATAAGGGCGCATCGGCCACTAGAGGGCTCATCGACATGCTGCCGGCTGCACAAACTGTTCCCCAGAATTTGTCTCCCTCCTGGACGAGTCGGGTTTTCCGCAGTAAAAAATGACAAGAAAACTGATCTATTTGAGGCTTATCATATACTCCTAGGCCTTGTGCTTTGGCTACTCTGCGATCAAGACCGACACTGAGCCTTCACTGCAAGCTTGGTGGTGAATGGTGGCCCTTGGTATTCCCGACATGCACACACTTGTTTTCCAGTTTCTCCTGACCCATACCTCTGCATCTTGATGGATCAATGGTTTCAGAAAGGTGAGTAGCGCGGTTCCCAAGCGGTAACTTTGTTCAAACCACCTTGACGAACGAACTGATTGGTGCGGGCGGGGCGCAGATGCATTCACCACACTGCGCCAAAGTTGTCCGAGCCGGATTCATCGCTTCGGAGCCAGAGTTATGACCAGAGAGCAGTTGAGGTTTGAAACCTCGGTGAAGCTACGGGGGCTCGGTTTTAGCTTGGGTTTTGAGTTGAGCACGCACTGTTACTGAACTTATTTGCTCCCCACGCAGCTACGGCGCTTCTGGCGCACTGTTACTGCCCAGAATTCACTCACAGCTCAGAGCTATGTGCTTTCAACGCAGTTTTGCTTTCATTGGTCATAGAATTGACGGGCCGATAACTCTATTTGGTTGACGGTCACCGAACCGTCAAACGCTAGCGATTTCGGGTGGCATGTTTTTCGAGGGAGTCATCAACCCTAAACACCGGGCGACAGGGTGTTTAGGGTTGATGCCCTTCTCAATGGCATGTCTCGATTGAGCGTCAACCCTAAACAACATTCGAAAGGTGTTTAGGGCTGATATCCTTCTTAAAGGGGTATATATATTTTTAGCACTAAAACAAATGTAAGTGGTTACTGTTTTCTGTGACAGCATCCACAGGTTCGGTTTGTAGTTATGTGCCATGTGTGGACCAATGAAATCAAAAATGCGTTGAAAGCACATGTTTCTGCACTCTGAGCGAAAACTGGACAGTAACAGTGCGCCAGAAGCGCTGTAGCTACGCTGGGAGCGAAGAAGTTCAGTAACGGTGCGTGCTCGACTCAAAACCCTTTTAGCTTTGGTTTGCGCGAATGGGACGAACGGAACAAACGAGACGTGTGTGGTTAGTTGGGCTGACTGATTCCCAAGCCAATCATGTGAAACTGTACGATCATGTCCAAACAAGAGCTGACCTGAGATAGCTTGGGCGAGATTACCATGTCGTGTTGTAGAGAAAGGGTAGACTAGAAACAGCTCAAAACAACTTTTCACAACACATTATGGAAACGCCTCTAGCTGTTTCTCCAATTCACATTTTTTTTTTCGGCCATATCCTAATGTAGAATGGATTGTTTCCGTGGAATAAGCAGAAGTTCCTTCGACTTCCGTAGGGGCAGGGTCATGTGTTGAAGTTTGTGTGAAGTCCCAGACTACATAACCTAACATGGAGGTCAGTCTCAAAGACTATAGGTGTCCGCAACAGCTTCTCAACGCCCTCTTAGGTGCAACGAATGGAGACCAGCTTTAAAAAAAATCCCAAAATCTCAGGAAGTCTGTGGTATTTATCTCTACATAATCAGTCCTTGGCATGACGTTGTGCCGATAGATTGGTTGATTTGTCCCGACCAAATCAAGGGTTTTCAGCTTTGCAATGACTGTTACTGTAGCTTGTCCTCTTGTGAAGGACCTTCATCGCTTTCTGCGCACACTTTCCGCTGATTCTCTTCTCAGGTGGGAGCATTATCGTTCAGACTAGGGCAGGGACTCGGCTTCTCGGCAACTCACGCAAGTACCATTTTCATTGTCCACAATTTCGGGAGGGATCAGCCCTAAACACAGGAAAGGGCATTGTTTTCAGGGTTCATGCCTCCCAGTCGCGTATCTTTTCCTATTGGGTTTTAGATTTGTGTTGTCAGGTGTAGTGATTTATATTTATATATACATATATATATCCCAATAGTTACATGTAATTCCCGATCGGGCGGTATCGTTTTAAGATCATCAACCCTAAACACTGTTCGACAAGGTATTTAGGGTTGATGCCATTCCCTAGAGGGTATATTTTATTACCTGGGCAGAAACAACTAAATCCCTCTCTGGTGGAATTTATATAAGGGCATCAACCCTAAACATTATGCCACAATGTGTTTAGGGTTGATGCCAGGTTTATTGCTTTTACCCGGACAAGAATGTACATGGGTTGTTGTGAACTGTTTGTGCGAAACAGTTTTTGCGTGAGTTGCGGAGGAGCCGAGTCCCTAGTTTGAACGATAATGCTCCCGCCTGAGAAGAGGATCAGCGGAAAGTGTGCGCAGAAAGCAATGAAGGTCTCTCAAAAGAAGACAGGCTACATTAACAGTTCTCGGAAAGCTGAAAACCCCTAAATCAACCACGACTTCCCAAATCACCTGAACTCCAACATTGTTTGTTGCTTCTGTAACGGAAGACGCATGACGGGCGTTCCCCAACCAGTACAATACATAAGTCAACATGAGACGTTCACTCTGGTCTGGGGTAAGAAGCTTTGGCGGGGGTACTACTAGCGACCCAGCACTTTCCAGGGAACTACAGTGCCCGCAACTAGCACTGTAGTTCCCTGGAAAGCGCAGGGTCGCTAGTAGTACCCCCACCAAAGCTACTTACCCTTTTTCTTACACCACGAGTGCATCTCGCACTGAATCTCGAGTTCGTACAAGAATCGTCGAGGTGGTTCTACTCTTATAGCTAGGAGCAACAGCAGCGAGACTATCGACAGCAGGGAGTTTAGGCAGCAGCGAAATCAATGACAGCATGGAGGCATGACTATTTCAACGTATACTTAAGACTACATCTCCGACATTGTCACGGCCCTCTCAAAACCCTAATTTATCCATAATCTTTTCGGGCTTGACACTCATAAACTTCACCATTCCCGGACCGCGTCATGTTCTCAAAGGAGGTGCTAGGTCTGGACGTCACTAAGATTAGAATACAGGCCGCTAAGATGCAGCAGTTGTTAAGTCCGAAGCGCGCTCCTAAGCTCGTCGCCTTTGTGGGCGTCGCGTTGCTCATGTTAGTATTACTTCTTTGTAGTTCGCATTTGCAGCTGCAATCGCGACAGGACTGCTTCTGTCCAAACGTAGCGAATCCCGAGCTGTCCGCCGCTGCCGCCGCCGCCGCCGCCGCTTCCGCGTCGTCTCTTTCCGGAGTCCTCCCTAGCGCACGACGCGATTTAGGATCCCGTGGAGTTTCCGCCATCTCCGCCGCCGTTACCGCTGCAGAAGACTCGCAGCCTTCCCCCGCAGCGACGATCGGATCCGTGGCCGCGTTTTCTGGCATGAACGACGGCGGTGAGGGGGGCAGTCAAGGCGCAGCGGACGACGATAGCAACCAGCAGTTTATTTACGTGTACGACACGCAATTGGCGTGGACGGAGCACCTTAAGGACCGCGCCAAGGAGTGGTATTCGGACCAGTATGACGTGGAATCTGTGCTGACGGAGCTCCTTATGCGCAGTAACGCGATTCGCACGACGGATCCCGAAAAGGCGACGCTGTTTTACGTGCCATACTACTCGTCGAACCACATCTCGCATGTGAACAAGCTGATGAAGAACATGATGCATAAGTCTGTCGGGGAGGTTTCAAAGGTGCGTTCTGAGTCTGCTTATATCGAGGCTAACTACATCATATATGTGAACAGGCTTATGAACAACATGATGCAGCGCTCTCCCCGTCCCCACCCGCTCGCCCTCTCCTCGCCCCCTCCCCCTACCCCCCCGCCCCTCCCATCCCCTCACACCCCCATTCCCCCTCGCCCTCCCCTCGCGGCCCCCCTCTCCTCGCCCGCTCCTCACGCGGTCCAGGCGTGGCACGAGATTCTCACCATGATACGCCGCGACTTCCTTTTCTTTCGAGTCGACTCAAGAGTCTTTTCCCTTCTCGTCACCATCCCCTCACCCTCCCCTCGTCTCATCTCCACCCCCTCGTCCTCTCCTCACTCCCTCCCCGTTTCCCCCCCAGGCGTGGCACGACATTCTCACCATGATTCGCCGCGACTTCCCCTTCTTCAACCGCACCAACGGCCGAGATCACTTCGGCACAAGCACGTTCGATCACGGCCGTTGCCACGCGTTGACCTGGGTCAACCCAGACCTGTACGGCGAGATGTTCTTCGTGATGCTCAACGGGGACCGCCTCGCGCGCACCATCCACGCGTCCAAGGAGAGGAACTTGCAGGTAGGGCGAGGAACATGCAGGTAGGGCGAGGAACTTGCAGGTAGGGCGAGGAACTTGTGCCTCGCGCGCACCATGCACGCGTCCAAGGAGCGCAATTTGCAGGTAGGGAGGCAAGAGGGGCTTGCATTGTGCCTCGCGCGCACCATGCACGCGTCCAAGGAGAGGATCCTGCAGGTAGGGAGCAGGCTTGGGGGAAGGAAGAAAGGAACCTGCAGGTAGGGAGCAGGCTTGGGGGAAGGAAGAAAGGAACCTGCAGGTAGGGAGCAGGCTTGGGGGAAGGAAGAAAGGAACCTGCAGGTAGGGAGCAGGCTTGGGGGAAGGAAGAAAGGAACCTGCAGGTAGGGAGGGGAACCTGCAGGTGCGTGCATGCAGCATGGTGAGGGGAAGGAGGCCGCAGGTCATGCATGGTGAGGGGAGACGAGGTGAACCTGCAGGTGGGGGGAAAATGTTGCATGTGGGGGGAAAAAGTTGCAGGTGCATGCATGCATGCATGCGTGCATGCTCAGAAGGTGGATGGGAATGTGCAAGTAGTCTGTTGAGAATGAAACATGCAGAACTCGCACGTGCAACTCATCAAGCTAACCCCTCCCCTCTCCTCTCCCATCTCCCATCTCCCATCTCCCATCTCCCATCTCCCATCTCCTCTCTCCCATCTCCCATCTCCCATCTCCTCTCTCCCATCTCCCATCTCCTCTCTCCCATCTCCCATCTCCCATCTCCCATCTCCTCTCTCCCATCTCCCATTTCCCATCTCCCATCTCCTCTCTCCCATCTTCCATCTCCCATCTCCTCTCTCCCATCTCACATCTCCCATCTCCCATCTCCTCTCTCCCATCTTCCATCTCCCATCTCCTCTCTCCCATCTCACATCTCCCATCTCCCATCTCCCATCTCCCATCTCCTCTCTCCCATCTCCCATTTCCCATCTCCCATCTCCTCTCTCCCATCTTCCATCTCCCATCTCCTCTCTCCCATCTCCCATCTCCCATCTCCTCTCTCCCATCTCCCATTTCCCATCTCCCATCTCCTCTCTCCCATCTTCCATCTCCCATCTCCTCTCTCCCATCTCACATCTCCCATTTCCTCTTTCCCATCTCCCATCTCCCATCTCCCATCTCCTCTCTCCCATCTCCCGTCTCCTCTCTCCCATCCATCTCCCATTTCCCATCTCCCATCTCCTCTCTCCCATCTCCCATCTCCTCTCTCCCATCTCCCATCTCCTCTCTCCCATCTCACATCTCCCATTTCCTCTTTCCCATCTCCCATCTCCCATCTCCCATCTCCTCTCTCCCATCTCCCATCTCCCATCTCCTCTCTCCCATCTCACATCTCCCATTTCCTCTTTCCCATCTCCCATCTCCCATCTCCCATCTCCTCTCTCCCATCTCCCGTCTCCTCTCTCCCATCTCCCATCTCCCCTCTCTCCTCTCCCCTCTCTCCTCTCCCCTCTCTCCTCTCCCCTCTCTCCTCTCCCCTCTCTCCTCTCCCCTCTCTCCTCTCCCCTCTCTCCTCTCTCCTCTCCCCTCTCCCCTCTCTCCTCTCCCCTCTCTCCTCTCCCCTCTCTCCTCTCCCCTCTCTCCTCTCCCCTCTCTCCTCTCCCCTCTCTCCTCTCCCCTCTCCCCTCTCTCCTCTCCCCTCTCTCCTCTCCCCTCTCCCCTCTCCCCTCTCTCCTCTCCCCTCTCTCCTCTCCCCTCTCTCCTCTCCCCTCTCTCCTCTCCCCTCTCTCCTCTCTCCTCTCTCCTCTCCCCTCTCTCATCTCCCCTCTCTCCTCTACCCTCTCTCCTCTCCCCTCTCCCTCTCCCCTCTCTCCTCTCCCCTCTCTCCTCTCCCCTCTCTCCTCTCCCCTCTCTCCTCTCCCCTCTCTCCTCTCTCCTCTCTCCTCTCCCCTCTCCCCTCTCCCCTCTCTCCTCTCCCCTCTCTCCTCTCCCCTCTCCCCTCTCCCCTCTCTCCTCTCCCCTCTCTCCTCTCCCCTCTCCCCTCTCCCCTCTCTCCTCTCCCCTCTCTCCTCTCCCCTCTCTCCTCTCCCCTCTCTCCTCTCTCCTCTCTCCTCTCCCCTCTCTCCTCTCCCCTCTCCCCTCTCCCCTCTCTCCTCTCCCCTCTCTCCTCTCCCCTCTCTCCTCTCTCCTCTCTCCTCTCCCCTCTCTCCTCTCCCCTCTCTCCTCTCCCCTCTCTCCTCTCCCCTCTCCCCTCTCCCCTCTCTCCTCTTCCCTCTCTCCTCTCCCCTCTCTCCTCTCTCCTCTCTCCTCTCCCCTCTCTCCTCTCCCCTCTCTCCTCTCCCCTCTCTCCTCTCTCCTCTCTCCTCTCCCCTCTCTCCTCTCCCCTCTCTCCTCTCCCTCTCTCCTCTCTCCTCTCTCCTCTCCCTCTCTCCTCTCCCTCTCTCCTCTCCCCTCTCTCCTCTCCCCTCTCTCCTCTCTCCTCTCTCCTCTCCCCTCTCTCCTCTCCCCTCTCTCCTCTCTCTCCTCTCTCCTCTCTCCTCTCCCTCTCTCCTCTCCCCTCTCTCCTCTCCCCTCTCTCCTCTCTCCTCTCTCCTCTCCCCTCTCTCCTCTCCCCTCTCTCCTCTCCCCTCTCTCCTCTCTCCTCTCTCCTCTCCCCTCTCTCCTCTCCCCTCTCTCCTCTCTCCTCTCTCCTCTCCCCTCTCTCCTCTCCCCTCTCTCCTCTCCCCTCTCTCCTCTCTCCTCTCTCCTCTCCCCTCTCTCCTCTCCCCTCTCTCCTCTCCCCTCTCTCCTCTCTCCTTTCTCCTCTCCCCTCTCTCCTCTCCCCTTTCCTCTAATGCGCAGATGGGGGGTTACACCTAACCCCCCACAACCCCCCCTTTCCCCCTACCTCCCCTTCCCCCACCCTCTCGCATCACCGGAATGCGCAGATCATAGGTTACACCTACAACGCACCACTGCAGAAGCAGTTCCCCGACATTCCATGCTACATGCCCGACCGAGACATTGTCGTGCCTGCCTTTATCGGCGACCAGGTGGGTTGTCCCATCCTCTCACGTCCCTCACTCCACGCTTTCCTCTCTCCCAGTCTCCCCGCCGTCCCCTGCTACATACCGGTCCAAGACATTGTAGTGCCTGCCTTTATTGGCGACCAGTTGCCTTTTGAAACGCCTCAAAGGTGGTTTCCCGACATCCCATGCTACATACCCGACCGCAACATTGTCGTGCCATGCCAGCTGCTGCTGGCAACCAGGTGGGCTTTGATGACGATTGCTCATTTTGTTTTATTTTCCTATCTCGTTTGTTTGTTTTTATTATATATATTTTTTAACATGTATCCGTTTATTTTTCTTCGTTCTTCCTTCATCTTGGAGACTGGGGCATTATTGCGCCACCTCAAAAAGGTACCACACCCCCCTTTCCCCCCCACACACTCTCATGCCCTTCATGCCCCGCCCCACCCCTCTCACTTCCCTTTTCCCCACACGCCCCCCAGATACCCATGGTGTCGCCCTTCACCGGCGATCGCCCCATGCGAGCCATTTTCCTCCTCTCACTCGCTCCCTGCTCCTGCCCACACGTCCCATTCTCCTTCTTCCTCCCCCCTCCTCCATCCCCCCCAGATGCCCATGGTGTCGCCCTTCACTGGCGATCGCCCCATGCGAGTCATCATCCGCTTCTCCCTCTCTCTCGCCCCTGCTTCAACGCACACATCCCATTCCCCCCTTCTCGTCCCAATCTCCTCAGATACCCATGGTGTCACCCTTCACCGGCAACCGCCCCATGCGGGCCATCTTCCGTTTCTCCGCAAAGCAAGGCCACAACGCGCCCCTCATGCACCACGGCCATGACCTGCGCCCCGAGCTGCTCGCTGTATGTGCGAAGAGGGGGGAATGGGTAGATAGAAGGGGGAGAGGGGATTGTGGGTGGGTAGAATGGGGAGAGGGGTTGAGGCAGGTGCCCTCATGCACCACGCCCACGACCTGCGCTCCGAGCTGCTCGCTGTACATGTGTGTAAGCGTGCGTATGCGTGCGTATGCGTGTGTAAGCGTGCGGGGGTCTTGTGGGTACAAGGTTGGGTGGTGAGAAGACAAGCAGGGTCACGGGCGACCCTCATGCACCACGGCCACGACCTGCGGCCCAAGCTGATCAATCAATGTGTGTGGGGGGGGAGGGTAAAAAAAAACGACCGTTTATTTTTTTAATTGACCTTAAACAACGGCCATAAAAAACGGTTCAAAACGGTTCCAGGAGGTGATTTTCGTTTGAAGAAAAAATCGGCCATTTTATGGGACCGAATTGATGGCGAAAATCAGCAGGATGAAGATGACGAACCCTGTCTTGCATGTGTGCGTTTGTGAGCATGATTGAGAATACATCCGACCTTGGATTTGCATTTTTTTTCTTGGAGGCAAGAGTTCTCTAACAGAAAAACGGCCGTTTTTTTATTATTATTATTACCGTAAAAAACGGACCATATTTCACGAAAACTGTATTTTTGAACCTTGTGTGGGGGTGTGAGGAGTTGGGGGTTGGAGAGTTGGGGGTTTGGGGAGTCGGGTCGGGGGTTTGGTTGGGGAGTTGGGGGGTTTGGTTGGGGAGTTGGGGGTTTGGGGGCTGGGTGGTGGGTAGACCAGCACGACCACAGGGCATCCAGACTTCACCACGGTCACGGCCTGCAGGCAGCCCAAGCTGCTCAATCAATGTGTGTGTGAGAGTTTTGAGGCGCCTCATCAGACTTTTGAGGCGACTTTTGAGGTGCCTCAAAAGACCAGCAGGGCCACAGGGCGCCCCAACTTCACCACAGCCGTGGTGGCCTGCGGCAGACTTTTGAGACGTCTCAAAACCCAACTTCACCACAGCCGTGGTGGCCTGCGGCAGACTTTTGAGACGTCTCAAAACCCAACTTAACCACAGCCGTGGTGGCCTGCGGCAGACTTTTGAGACGTCTCAAAACCCAACTTAACCACAGCCGTGGTGGCCTGCGGCAGCCCAAGCTGCACTATCAATGTGTGTGTGATGTGAAAGGGGATTGGGGAGTGGTGAGTGAGGGAAGGGGAAACTCTCTCTCACTCACTCCATCACCATACTGGTCAAACTCCTGAATATGTCTAAATCTGCCATCGACTCAACAGGTGCCCTCCCCCTCCCCTCCCCTCCCCTCCCCTCCCCTCCCCTCCCCTCCCCTCCCCTCCCCTCCCCTCCCCTCCCCTCCCTCCCCTCAATCACCTCCCGCCCCTCCCCTCCACACACACGCGTGCAGATGTACCAGCGGCAGCGCATCAAGGGGTGGAGCTTTGCAGCCAAGGGGGAGAACGCAAGCATCAAGGAGTTTCCTCGAGGGTCAACTCAAAGGTCCCCTCCTCCCCTCCACACGTGCAGATGTACCAGAAGCAACGCATCAAGGGGACTTCCTCTCCTCCCCTCCCCTCCACTTCCCCTGAACTAGACTCCCTCTCCCCCACACCCCCCACACGTGCAGATGTACCAGAAGCAGCGCATCAAGGGGTGGAGCTTCGCAGCCAAGGGGGAATACCAGACGAACAAGGAGTGGCAGAAAGCCGTCTTCTGCATCTGCCCGTCTGGCCACTCCCAGTGGACCAGCCGCCCCTTCAAGGTGCGTTGTGTGTGGATGGGTCGTGTGGGACTGGTGGCTTCGTGTGGGACTGGTGGCTTCCCAATCTCTCAAGGGGGAAAGGAAGACGAACAAGGAGCGGCAGCTGGGTGCCTTCTGCATCTGCCCGTCCGGCCACTCTCAGTGGACCAGCTGCCCCTCCAAGGTGCGAGTGGGTGGGTGTGGGTCAAACTAGTCAGTTATTCAAGTCAATGAAGTCAATCTAGTCAATGAAGTCAATCGAGTCAATGCCACTCCCAGTGGCCCAGCCGCCCCTTCAAGGTGGGTCATGTGCGAGCCTGCAGGTAATAGAGCAAAGAACTAGCATATGTCTTCGTACAAGCAAACAATCATTGTTGAGCAAAGCAACGCAACCGATCGTCTCCTCCTCTGTGGCTCGTCTCTTATCCCAGCATGAGTTGACGCGATTCTTGTAGCGTCTCAAAAGTTGGCAACAACCCGCGGTTTCCTCTGTGGGTGGGTGGGTCTTCTCTTATCCCCCCCATTTGCCCATCCACATTCATCCCCCACTTTTCCGCTTTCCCAGGCGCTCATGTCAGGGTGCATCCCAGTGACGTTCTTCCGAGACCACGTCAACCCTTGGGACGATGAGCTGAACCAACATAACACAACCACTCGTACTCTCCCCCGCTTCTCCCCCCATCCCTTGCCCCCCCCAGGCGCTCATGTCAGGGTGCATCCCAGTGACGTTTTTCCGAGACCACGACAATCCCTGGGACGATGAGCTGGACTACTCCTCCTTCTCCATCAACATCGATCCGGACGACATTGCTTCGCTGCGCTCCCGCCTTGAGTCCGCCCCTGTGGAACAGCTGCAGCGTGGCGTGGAGAGAGTGCAGGTGAGCAGGGTCGGCACTGGTGAAGTGTGGTGAAGTGTGGTGCAGTGCGGCTCATCCCAGGTTTGCCCTGTGGAGCAGCTGCAGCGCGGCGTGGAGAAGGTGCAGGTGGGTTGCCGTGGGTGTGGGTGGGCTTGAATGGGTCCAGTGTGGCTCTTTCTAGGCTTGTCCTGTGGAGCAGGAGCAGCTGCAGCGCGGCATGGAGCGAGTGCAGGTGAGCTGTGATGTGATATAAGTTGGGGTTGAGTCGGTGTGTTTTGAGACGTCTCAAAACACGTGGTGTGGCGAAGGTGCAGGTGAGCTGTGATGTGATATAAGTTGGAATTGACTCAGCCAGCATTTTGGTCGCTAGCGTCAACACACTGGCGTCAATTCGCTAGACGCTGAACGCTTGGAAAGCGCTGGGTGTGTCCTTACCCTTAACGCCCCCCCTCCTTTCCTTCTCACCGGCTACAACGACTCAACCTGGGCTGATTCTTGGCCGAATCGTCTCTCCTTTCAGGGCTTGGAAAGGCTGACTCGTCTCATGCCACTCTCCCTTGATATACATGTTGTTTTATCCGTCCCTTGCCTCCTTGCGCTCACCACTCCCACGTGTAATGAGTACATTTTTTAGTCGACTAAAAAAAAATACTCGTTTGGGATGACCCCCTCCAGCTTGGCATGACTTACTTGGCTCATGCCTCTCTCCCTTGTTTTACGCGGATTTGAGTATTCTCAAAATCAGCTTGGCATGACTTACTCGTCTCATGCCTCTCTCCCTTGCCTCCTTGCGCTTACCACCACTCCCACCCCTCATGTGATGAGTCAAATTTTTTAGTCGACTCAAAAATAGAGTCATCACACGTGTAGGACGAACACCTCCAGCTCGTCAAGACTTGCTTGGCTCATGCCTCGCACGGGCACAGTGGAGGGTGCTTGTATAGAGGTCTTGACATGGCCCCTCCCCTCCGCCCCCTCTCCCTTCCGTTCTCCCTCTCTCTCCCCCTGATGCCATCAGTACATGCGGAGTATGAGCTTCTAGAGAGGTCATGGCATTGGGGTGCTCCTTCCTTCCCTTGTGTGGCTCCCCATCCCCCTTTTTTCCGCTACGCCCACTCTCTCCCACTGATGCCATCAGCAGATGTTCAAGTGGGGGGTGGAGCATGAGCTTGTACCAAGGACTTCACATAGTGGTGCTCCTTCCCTCATACGGGTGCTCTCTCCCTCTCTCCCTCTCTCCCTCTCTCCCTCTCTCCCTCTCCCTGGGACACCATCAGAACATGTTCAAGTGGTCGCAGACACACACATGGGGGGCGGAGTATGTGCATGTACATAGGACTTGACATACTGTAAAACCTCCCCTCCCCCCCCCCCCCCCCCCCCCCCCCCCTCCCCCCCCCCCGCCCTCCCTCCCTTCTGTTCGCTCTCACTTCCCTTGACACCATCAGAACATGTTCAAGTGGTCGCGGACACACACACGGGGGGCGGAGTCTGAGCTTCTTAAGAGGTTAAGGCAGCGAGGCAAGCAACTCTCCTCAACCGCTCTCTTCCTATAGCTAGCAAGCTCTTGTAATGAAAATAGTAGTGGTAGAAGGAAGGTGTTTTATGTATTGTATTGTAGTCATAAGAAATCACACCTGGCTTGCAATGCAAGCCCCCCGCTTCTCGATATGAAATTTTTTGAAAGTGTGTAACACTTTCTAAAAATGCGTATTGTGAAAGCGCAGCTGTCTGTATCGCAGCAAGGCAACGGCGAATTACAATTCGCCGAGTACATAACGAGGGTTGGAGGCCATTTGGCCTCCACCCACGTCTTCATTTGGAACTTGCAGTTCCACTCCACTCTCGTCCAACTACTCAGGTGACATTTCTCTCTCGATTTCTGTTGACACTAGAACCTCGCATAGTAGGCACTAATTTCTGATAAGTTGTTTTTAGTTATTTATCACGTTTAAGCCACGCGATTTCACGTAGACGGCGAGAGTTGCGACTACACCCGCGGGCAAGAAATCGGCGCCAAACCCGCATCAAATGAGGGCGCGACCCAGGGCGAACCCCCCACTAGCGAGCCTAAGGCGAACTCGCCCCTGGCGCACCTGGCGGCACCATCGTCAGTCGCGCGACTGACGCAAGCGTCAGACTCGCTGCTGACGCAATCGCCATGGGCTCGAGCGACTGACGCAACCACCAGGGGCGCGGCTGACGCAATCGCCAGGGCGCGACTGACGCGATCGCCAGGGCGCGACTGACGCAATCGCCAGTGGCGCTACTGACGCAATCGCCAGAGACCCGCTTGTGATCCTGCATCAACTGGTTCGACACCAGCATTGCCACGCAACTAACTCTTTCTACCATCTCAAGCTAACTTGGTTTTTGTTGCAATTTGGATTCTCTTCCCGTTCATTCGATAAATCTTTTATTCAATAATTCCTCAGCCTTCAAATTTTCATGGTGCAAGGCATAATTATTGGCAGGAGGCCAAGCATAACAATTTGGGGCAACGACGGCTACATCAACTCTTGGTGCACCCGCGCATGGTCCTTCACTTGAGGAAGGGGGCCAAGGGTCCCGTGCTGGCCAGAGGGCCGTTCCCCAAGGGGGGAAGGGGACCGAGGGTCCCGTGCTGGCCAGAGGGCCGTTCCCCAAGGGGGGAAGGGGACCGAGGGTCCCGTGCTGGCCAGAGGGCCGTTCCCCAAGGAGGGAAGGGGACCGGGGGTCCCGTGCTGGCCAGAGGGCCGTTCCCCAAGGGGGGAAGGGGACCGAGGGTCCTGTGCTGGCCAGAGGGTCGTTCCCCAAGGGGGGAAGGGGACCGAGGGTCCCGTGCTGGCCAGAGGGCCGTTCCCCAAGGGGGGAAGGGGACCGAGGGTCCCGTGCTGGCCAGAGGGCCGTTCCCCAAGGGGGGAAGGGGACCGAGGGTCCCGTGCTGGCCAGAGGGCCGTTCCCCAAGGGGGGAAGGGGACCGAGGGTCCCGTGCTGGCCAGGGGCCAGAGGGCCCATCGTCGCCCTATGGAAGGTGGACAGTTCAGGTTGATATGGTTACAACATACGGCACATTGTTGTGGAGGTGTATCATATGGATATAGATTGCATAATATATATTGCCATATCATGTAAAACAGAAAATTTGTCATAAATATCCCCTTTCATATGAGCCAACGACGCCAACAACTACGAGCAGGGGCGCCCATATTAAGAGAACAAGCAACTTCGCACGAACAACGGTCCTAATCCTTTCAATATGGCACCAAGTTGGTGCCACCAACGCAACGCCACCTCTCTGCACTTCGACAACTTCGTCAGACGCAGCCGCACTCAACAAGTCTCCAACGGCCCCAACTGCACATGTCTCAGAAGACCCAATTGTAATGAAGCACGATGCCTTTACAAGAACAGAAAGCAAGTTTTCTCAATATGAATTTTTTTGAAAGTGTGTAACATTTTCTAAAAATGCGTATTGTGAAAGCGCAGCTGTCTGTATCGCAGCAAGGCAACGGCGAATTACAATTCGCCGAGTACATAACGAGGGTTGGAGGCCATTTGGCCTCCACCCACGTCTTCATTTGGAACTTGCAGTTCCACTCCCCACCCACCCACCCTAGTCGTATACGCAACTTGTATAGTCTATTTGGACGAGAATGTTGTAATTACTGCAATTGTAATGAAGCACGATGCCTTTGCAAGAACAGAAAGCAAGCTTTCTCAATGTATAAAATAAGACTAAGCAAGCGTTGTTTCTGTTACAAGAGAAGCCTTTCTACTGCAGCAACATGCGTGGGAACATGACTTGCTAGCTATCCATATTCTCCCCAGCCATGGACAAATAAGGCAACCTTCGACTCCAATTAGCAGCTGCCCTTCTTCTGTGTGTGGTAACATGTAATTGCCCTAGTATTGCCCTAAACCCATGGGAACAAAACCATGCCTGTTACGCAGGCCCCCAGAAGTCAGAGTTTTTTGTCTGATTTGCTTGTTTTAGTCTGAGATTTCAGACTTTTTTTAGGGTGTACTCTGTAAAATTCAGATTTTTTTTTTGCGTCAACTCTGTGAAAATCAGATTTTTTTATAGGCTGACTCTGACGTTTCATAGTTTTTCGGGAGTGTACTCTGATGAATTCAGAGTACAAACGAGTTCTTGACCGGTGATTCGGACTTCACGGGTCACAGCAGATTCGCACAGTCAACGCAAAATTGCCTTGACACAGCAAATCCGGGCCTTACAGCACGAAAATTTCGCCCAATCATAGCAAAGTCGGCGTCAGAGCACAACAATTTGGCCCAATCACAAAAAAATTGCGTCTGACATTGCAGATTCGCCCTGTCACACCACTAGATTCGCTCTGACAAAAGATTCGCCCAATCATCACAAGATTCACCCAATCACCACAAGATTCGCGTCTGACATTGCAGATTCGCCGTCAGAGCATGTTCTCCCGAAATCCCCTTAGTCTAGTTTCGGTAACAGTGAATGAAACATTGAATACATTTCTGATGAACATTGAATACATTGATTTCGAATGTTCAGACTTTTTTTATTTAGACACTCTGAAATTTCAGACTTTTTTTAATACCAACTCTGAGAGTTTCAGACTAAAACTGTGTATTAGTCTGACGAATCAGACAGGTCAAAAACGAATCTGAGGGCCTGCTGTTACGTTACATTATTCTCAACAAGTCAATCTCTCACATCTTGCCAAATAGGACACAGTCTTTCTCCTCTAAGTACGCTATTCTGATTAGAAAAGAAATGTGCTATTTCCCTGTTCTCTGTAAAAATGGGGGCGTCTTATTATGTTTTTGTTAAGATTAGGAGATTATGCAGTACTTAGGTTTAGGAGAGGTTTAGTAAGGAGAATCATGGAGGGAGAAGTTTGGCCAAAAGAGAGGCTTTCATTATGAAGTTGGGAGTACAAATAGGAAGGAGAGGAAGGGGAAAAGGGTACACCACCAGCAGTTGAACCTAATATCTAACTAATACACTAGCAAGCTGTAGGCAGTTAGGATATGCAATATAATTCAACACACCCCCGTAACTGCCTACGGCTATAGCTAGTGGTGTCTGGCACCAGGTCGCCTGGAGAGCGGTTGCTGTAGCTGGGATAGGCACAGAAACAGCGGTGGCTGAGCGGCAGCACCTGTGAACGCCAGAACGGAGGAGGGCGCGGAGAGCGCGGAGGAGGGCTGGGATAGCCGGAGGGCGAAGGATGCTGGTCGCTCGCCATCTACGAGCAAACACAACTGTTGGTGAGGAGGAGGAAGCTGGTGGTGGTGCACAGGAGGAGAGCAGAGGAGATGCGGCTGGAGAGGAGAGAGGAGGAGGAGATGCGGCTATAGGAGAGGAGACTGGAGGAGGAGATGCGGCAGAAGTAGAGGAGAGGAGAGAGGAGGAGATGCGGCTGGAGGAGAAGAGGAGAGGAGAGGAGAGGAGAGGAGAAGAGGAGGAGGAGAGGAGAGGAGAGGAGAGGAGAGGAGAGGAGGTGGCTGGCGCGGCAGAAGCTTTCCCGCCACCCCCTCATCCCCCTCCCCCCCATGCGCTGGCGCTGGCGGAAGTGCTGGCGCTGGGCGCTGGCGTCGCGCTGGCGCTGGCGCCCGCCGTTGGCGCTTGCGCTAGCGCCCGCCGTCGGCGCTGGCGTCCGCGCTGGCGCTTGCGACCGCCGTTGGCGCTGGCGGTGGCGCCCGCCGTTGGCGCTGGCGCTGGCGCCCGCCGTTGGCGCTTGCGCTGGCGCCCGCCGTCGCCTCGCTGGCACGCTCGCCACTGGCAGAGCGCGACGGGGCAGGCGAAAGGGGGCAGCGCGACGGGTGCTGCAAAAGCAGCGGAGTTCGAGCCAGCAGCGGATTTCGCGCTACTAGCAGTAGCAGCCATGCCAGCAGCACAATAAGTCGCCATGGCAGATCGCGGGTTTGGTGGGCCCATGAAAACGAGGTCCTAGGAGGGACCACGCTCTGATACCATGTTAAGATTAGGAGATTATGCAGTACTTAGGTTTAGGAGAGGTTTAGTAAGGAGAATCATGGAGGGAGAAGTTTGGCCAAAAGAGAGGCTTTCATTATGAAGTTGGGAGTACAAATAGGAAGGAGAGGAAGGGGAAAAGGGTACACCACCAGCAGTTGAACCTAATATCTAACTAATACACTAGCAAGCTGTAGGCAGTTAGGATATGCAATATAATTCAACAATTTTTGCCTCTATAAAAAGGTTCGGGGGGGGGGGCAGAAATAACCTGGCAAACCCACCCACCCCCCTATCTTAGACCCTGAGGTATTCTATTCCGGGGGGTTCTTCAATCAGGACAGGAGGACTATGGCAAGCAAGACCAGACTTTAGAAAAACCACCTGTAACAAAACAGATGCAATTTCTTTGTTATTAGAATACAGAGGCAGCTTCTACCATCCCCTATTTTTTCACTACAAGCACGCCTGTTATAGGAAGAGAGCAGTCGAGGAGATTTGCTCCCCGCGTTGACTTAGCCTCTTCATAAGCTCATAGCCTGCCCCTTGTGAGAGTGTTCTCGACCACTTGAACATTTGCTGGTGGCATCAAGGGATGGAAGAGGGGGGAAACGTAGTGAGGGAATGAAGTGAGGGGAAAGGAAGTGCAGGCGGGGAGAAGAAAGTGAGGGGGGGAGAAAGTGGGAAGAACTTCAACCCATGTGTGCGTGCGACCGTCCGCGACCACCTTAACATGACCCTGCAGGGGGAGAGGGAGGTGGGGAAAGCAGGGATGAGTGTTCACATCACGGAATCTTGAGGCACCTCAAAAGTCAGTGGCAGGGGGAGAGGGAGGTGGGGGAAGCAGGGATGAGTGTTCACATTATGGAAGGAGTCCCATCAAGCCAAGACCTCTTTAGAAGCTCATACTCTGCTTTTTTAATCGACTCAAAAGCGACCAGGACCTCTTTATAAGCTCATACCTGCCCCCCTCCCCCACCTCATGTGAGCGTCTGCGACCATTCCAACCCACTGAACCCACTCTACCGCACTCCACCCAATCAACCACACTCCACCCATTTCACCACACTCCACCCACTCAACCAAGCTGCACCCACTCAACCGCACTCCACCCATTTCACCAAACCGCACCCATTCCACCGCACTGCACCCATTTCACCGCACTGCACCCATTCCAACTATCCTCCCACCGCATACCACCGCACTGCACCCACCTGCACTCTCTCAACGCCGCGCTGCAGCTGCTCCACAGGAGCGCTCTCGAGACGGGAGCGCAGAGAAGCAATGTCGTCCGGATCGATGTTGATGGAGAAGGCGGAGTAGTCCAGCTCATCGTCCCAGGGGTTGTCGTGGTCGCGGAAAAACGTCACCGGGATGCACCCAGATATCAATGCCTGAAAACCCATAGAAAATGCACCCGGAAAATACATAGAAAATAAACCCGGAAAATACATATCATAGAAAAGGGGTCGTCATTTTCCAGCTCGTCCGGATCGATGTTTTGGAGATTGACTCGATTGACTAATTGACTCGATTGACTAATTGACTCGATTGACTAATTGACTCGATTGACTAATTGACTCGATTGACTGATTGACTCGATTGACTGATTGACTCGATTGACTGATTGACTCGATTGACTGATTGACTCGATTGACTAATTGACTCGATTGAATAATTGACTTGATTGACTAATTGACTCGATTGACTAATTGACTTGATTGACTGATTGACTCAATTGACTAATTGACTCGATTGACTAATTGACTCGATTGACTAATTGACTTGATTGAATGACCCACACCACACCCACTCGCACCTTGAAGGGGCGGCTGGTCCACTGGGAGTGATCGTGATCGTGAACCCACGTGATTGACCCGATTGACCCGATTGACCCGATTATCGTGCCCCTCACCTTGAAGGGGCGGCTGGTCCACTGGGAGTGGCCGGGCGGGCAGATGCAGAAGACAGCCCGCTGCCAATCCTTGTTCGTCTGGTTCTCCAGCTTGGCTGCAAAGCTCCAACCTTTGATGCGCTTCTTCTCATACATCTGCACGCGTGTGGGGGAGGAGGGGAGAGGGAGTCTATTTCAGGGGAAGTGGAGGGGAAGAGAGGGAAGGAAGCCCCTTGTTGGTCGCGGTCTCTGCCTTGGCAGCAAAGCTCCACCCTTTGATGCGCTTCTTCTCATACATCTGCATGCGTGTGTGCGGGAGGGGGGGGTTATGAGCGGAGGGGATGGGAGGAGAGAGGTGAGGTGGGGTGGGGTGGGGACCTTTAAGTCGACTTGAGGTGCAGCAGCATCTTTCATCCCCCTTCCCCAAGCCCTTAAACACACACTCCTCACTCCAAGAGAGGCGTCCCGCCCTGCTGCTGGGCGGAAAAGGCCACTCCCCCACACCCCCAAACCCACTCCCCCACACCCCCAAACCCACTCCCCACACCCCCAAACCCACTCCCCACACCCCCAAACCCACTCCCCCACACCCCCAAACCCACTCCCCACACCCCCAAACCCACTCCCCATCCTCACTCCTCAGGTCGTGGCTGTGGTGCACGGGGCCACCTGCCCCAAACCCTCTCCCCATTCTACCCACCCACAATCCCCTCTCCCCCTTCTACCCATTCCCCCCTCTCCTCCTCACACACATACAGCGAGCAGCTCGGGGCGCAGGTCGTGGCCGTGGTGCATGAGGGGCGCGTTGTGGCCTTGCTTGGCTGAGAAGCGGAAGATGGCTCTCATGGGACGGTTGCCAGCGAAGGGTGATACCATGGGTATCTGAGGGGGTGGAGGAGGGGGAGGAGGGGGAGGGAGGAAGGGGAATGGGACGTGTGAGCAGGAGCAGGGGGAGAGTGAGAGGAGGAAGATGGCTGCATGGGGCGGTTGCCTGTGAAGGAAGATACCATGGGTATCTGAGGGGATTGGGACATGCAGGGCCGAGTGGGATGTGTGCGCAGAAGCAGGGGAGAGAGAGAGAGAGGGAGAAGCAGATGATGGCTCGCATGGGACGATTGCCAGTGAAGGGCGACACCATGGGTATCTGTGGGGGATGGGGGGGTGGAGAGATTAGGACATGAGGAGACATTTGAACATAAGGCGAGGAGCAGGGGAGAGGGTGAAAAGCGGAAGATGGCTGCATGCATGGGGCGATTGCCAGTGAAGGGCGATACCATGGGCATCAGGGGAAGCGTGGGTGGGGAGGGTGGGGAGGGGGGGGGCGGAGTGGGACGTGTGGGCAGGAGCAGGGAGAGAGTGAGAAACGGAAGTTGGCTCGCATGGGGCGATTTCCTGTGAAGGAAGATACCATGGTTACCTGGAGAAGCGTGGGGAGGGGAGGGTGGGGAGGGAGAGGGCAGAGTGGGACGTGTGGGCAGGAGCAGGGGGAGAGTGAGAGGAGGAAGATGGCTCGCAGAGGAGGATGGGCTTAGGGATGGCGAGAGAGTGGGGCATAGGGATGGCGAGAGCATGGGGCATAGGGATAGCGAGAGCGTGGGGCATAGGGATAGCGAGAGCGTGGGGCATATGGATGGCGAGAGCGTGGGGCATAGGGATGGCGAGAGCGTGGGGCATAGGGATGGCGAGAGCGTGGGGCATAGGGATGGCGAGAGCGTGGGGCATAGGGATAGCGAGAGCGTGGGGCATATGGATAGCGAGAGCGTGGGGCATAGGGATGGCGAGAGCGTGGGGCATAGGGATGGCGAGAGCGTGGGGCATAGGGATGGCGAGAGCGTGGGGCATAGGGATGGCGAGAGCGTGGGGCTGAGGGGTGTGAGTGAGGGGGTAGGTCGGGCATGTAGCAAGGGACGTCGGGGAGAGTGGGAGCGAGGAGAGTGTGGGTGAGTGACCTGACGTGATGTGACGTGACGTGACGTGACGTGACGTGACGTGACGTGAGGGACACGAGAGGATGGGGCAGCCCACCTGGTCGCCAATCAAGGCCGGCACGACAATGTCTCGGTCGGGCATGTAGCAGGGGACGTCCGGGAACTGCGGCTGCAGTGGCGCGCTGTCGTAGTTGTACCCCACAATCTGTGCGTGCGTTCGGAGGAAGGGGGGGAAGGGAGGGGGCCGGAGGGGAGGGAGAGGGGGTGCGGGTCGGGGTGGGGGTGCGGGGTAGAGAGATTAGCTTATGTGGCAGGGAATTTCGGGGAACTGCGGCTGCAGTGGCGCGCTGTTGTGGTTGTACCCTACAATCTGTGTGTTCGGAGGGAGGGGTGGGGGGGCGGGGAGGAGGGGGTAGGGGGTGGTGGGTTCGAGAATAGCTTATGTAGCATGGGATGTGGGCTGCAGTGGCGCGCTGTCGTAGTTGTACCCCACAATCTGTGTGTGCGTTCGGAGGAAGGGGGGGAAGGGAGGGGGCCGGAGGGGAGGGAGAGGGGGTGGGGATGGGGGTGGGGGGTAGAGAGATTAGCTTTTATAGCATGGGATTTCGGGGAACTGCGGCTGCAGTGGCGCGCTGTCCTAGCTGTACCAGACAAATCCGTGTATTTGGAAGGGGAGGGGAGGGGGGCGGTGGGGAGGGGGTGGGCGTAAGGGGTAGAAAGAAGATTAGCTGATGTGGCATGGGACGTATGGGAACTGCGGCTGCAGTGGCGCGCTGTTGCAGTTATACCAGCAAATCTGAGAATTCGGAGGAGGTGAGGGGGGGGTGAGGCGGGGGCGAAGGGGGGGTGGTGGGGGTTAGAGAGATTAGCTTTTATAGCATGGGATTTCCGGGAACTGCGGCTGCAGTGGCGCGCTGTTGTAGTTATACCAGACAATCCGAGCATTCGGGCATAGAGGGGAGTGGCGTGAGATGGGGTGAGGGAGAGGGGGCGAGCGAGACGGGTGTGGAGAGGGATTCGAATATGATGAGCAACGGAAGAGATTTGAGATTGTAACCTAGGATTTGAGAGGGGAGAGGGATTGGTACGAGCTCCTCTGCTCTTCTCCCTCCCTTCCAGCCCCTTCCCCCCCTACCAGCACGTTCCCTCCCTTCCCACCAGCTGCAAGTTCCTCTCCTCTCTCCTCAGCACGCGCGCACGCACCTACAGCTTCCTCGCCTCTCCACCTCCACTGCACGCGCCTGCACCTTCCCTCGCACCAGCACGCGCGCACCAGCAGGTTCCTCTGGACAGACGCGTGGATGGTGCGCGCGAGGCGGTCCCCGTTGAGCGGACAAGGGGAAAGGTCTTACCTGCACGTGCCTCTCCCCAGCCCCCTTTCTACCTACAGGTTCCTTTCCTCTTACCTGCAGGTTCCGCTGCACAGACGCGTGGATGGTGCGCGCGAGGCGGTCCCCGTTGAGCATGATAAAAAACATCTCGCCGTACAAATCCGGGATGACCCACGTCAGCGCGTGGCAACGGCCCTGATCGAACGTGCTCGTGCTGAAGTGATCTCGGCCGTTGGTGCGGTTGAAGTAGGGGAAGTCGCGGCGGATCATGGTGAGAATCTCGTGCCACGCCTGGTGACAAGAGGATGGGGGGAGAGAGAAGCGGTTACGTGCGAATTTTGAGGCGCCTAAAAAAAAAGGACGACTGGAAGAAAGCGGCCGGAGAGAAGATAATGCGTGCGAAAATATTGTTCTTGTGTTGACTCAAAAGAAGCGCAAGTCGCGCGGCGCATCATGATGAGAATCTCGTGCTGCGCCTGGAGGGACGCGAGAGGGGTCACGACTCGATATACGCAGAATCGCTTCTCACCTTAGACACCTCCCCGACGGCCGTCTGCATCATGTTCTTCATCAGCCTATTCACATGCGCGATGTGGTTCGACGCGTAGTACGGCACGAAAAACAGCGTCGCCTTTTCGGGATCCGTCGTGCGAATCGCGTTAGTGCGCATAAGAAGCTCCGTCAGCACCGTTTCCACTTCGTATTGGTCCGAATACCAATCCCTTTCGAGCCCCTTCATTGGCTCCGTCCACGCCCATTGCGTGTCGTACACGTAAATAAACTGTTGGTTTCCACCGTCGCCAGCTGCGCCCTGATTGGCCCCGGCACCGTCGGCGTTCCCGCCGGAAAACGCGGCGTCGGATCCAATAGTCGCTGCAGGGAGGGCTTGCGAGACTTCCGCTGCGGAAACGGTGGCAGGGGTGGTGGAAACTCCACTGATTTCTAAATGGCGTCTTGCGCTAGCGAGGTCGCGGGAAAGAGACGAGGCGGAGGCGGCGGCGGCGGCAGCGGTGGACAGCTCGGGATTCTCTAGGTTTGGACAGAAGCAGTCTTGCGGTAGCAGCTGCAAATACGAACTATATAGAAGCATTATCAATAAGAACGACGCGACGCCCACAAAGGCGACGAGCTTGGGAGCGCGCTTCGGACTTAGGAGTTGCTGCTGCATCTTAGCGGCTTGTACTTTGATGTTACTGACGTCCAGAACTAGCATTCTCCTCGAGGACACCACGAGGTCCGGAAATGGCGAAGATTCTGAGCGTCAAGCTGGCTTGGATAAGCTTAGGGAGTGAGTGGGCCGTGACTTGCTCAGACGGAAAATGCTGTCATTGTCTGGTGACTTCACACTGAAATAGCCCTGTCTCGATGCTGGCGCTGATTTCGCTGCTGTCGCTCGCCTCGCCAGTCTCTCTGCTGTTGTTGATCCTAGCTAAAACAGTTGCTGCTCGGCCAACAACGAACCACCTTGACTAGTCTTCAGGAGTACTCAGTGTGAAGCACTAGTGGAGGTACGTGATAAGTCAGCACTGTCGCGACGCGAACAACAAATGTCGAGCATTCCGAAAGAGTAGTGCCCCCAGGGTGTGAGGACCGCGTACGGTCATACTGGTAGTAGGTACAGTTTAGAGGCGTGGCTGAGACTGAATGGTTCGGTTGTTGGTTCGGGACAGATGAGTGGCTCGGTGAGACTTAGTGGTTTGGTTGGGGAGGGGAGTTTTCAGCCAGACGACTGACATTGTGGTGAACAATAAATAGGTCAACCAGTTAGGAGGAACGTCTCTCAGGTTGACCTGACTGGTTCTGGAGAGTTCCCAATGCGGAAACCTTGCTCACGCGTTTTCGGTTAGCAACAAACAAACGTTGGAGCTCAGGCGAATTTGGAATTCCTGGCTTGATTCAAGTGATGCCAATGCTGCACAGGGTTATCTCTTGCTCTGAATAATTAATCATAGGAGCAGATCCTGGACGCCCTGATAATTAGTGGCTATAAATGATCTCGAGGGAACTTCCTGTTATTGAGGCTGTCCTGAGAAACGTAGACTAGGAACTCAAACCAGTCTTGCACCCCAGGACCTTGTATTCGAATCAGTCGCTCCACCCACGGCGATCAGTCCACTTCGATTTCAATCAGTACGTGATCTGCCGAATAGTTAGAAGCAATCTCATATACTGTATAATGAGAACATTGGAGAAATAGGCACAGGCATTTCCATGATGTGGTGGACGGAGTTGGCCTCGCATCGCATGCCCAGCTAGGGTGAAATCTTTAAAAGGTTGGATCTGCGAGGGTCCCCCCAAAACGAATCGAGAGAGACCTAGTCAATGGTCGACCCAGGATGGTTGCTGCGGCATGTACACCCTGGCGTCTTCCTCACCCTGACTGCTTGTTTGGCGTGACACACCATTGCCTGGAAGTGTCAGGAGGAAGCCCAGCCACACACATGTCATTTTGTCCCGTCCGAGCACAACAGAAGTTCAGGGCGGGTCAGAGTTTGAACATTTCGGTTGGGTTGAGTCGAAACGAGGGCATGAAGTCTAGAGCGGATTGTTTGCTTCATCGCCTCAAACCGTGGCGCACCGCTTATTACACATACGTTAGCTGAAATAGTTCAGATTCTGACCAGCCCTCACCAACTCGACCCACAGGTACTGTTGGTCCATTGAGGTTACAGCACCACAGTGGTCTGGTCTGGTCGTGTCAAACTTCGATTCTTGGAACTTCGGGCTCGGAAGACCTGACGTGGAGGCTCGGAACACGCTGGTGCGGTCTGAACAACTTCTTTTGCACCAAGGTTTCTTGAACGAGCTACCTACTGGAACCGCCACTCACCTTTCTGAAACACTGATCCTTCAGTGTTTCCGCTTTCAAGCATTGCAATGCAAGAGTGTGCAAAAGGTGGGGAGACCAAGCGGAGTCACCAACCATCCACCATCACAGTGAAGCACTGGTACTTGTTTAGAGTTGTGGAAGCGAACAAGGTTTCGAAGCATTTGAGAAGCCTCAGATTGTATTTTCTTATCATTTCTCACGGATGGAAACCGGACTCGTCAAGGAGGAAGGAGACAAATCCTGGAGAATAGTTACCGCAGCTGGCAGCATGTCGATGAGTCCTCTTGCGCCCGAAGTGCCCTTATCTCCTAGGAGCCGCTCGATTCGCTTCACTGTCGCTATCCTTGCGGCTGTCGGCCTAATTGCAACCCTGTTCATCCTTAGTCGAGAACAGCCGGCTTGTATGTGCGATAATGACGTCAGCACAGGCTTCACTGCCATCACTGATGGTGGCACCGGCTCTCTAGCTCCCGTTAGTGAGGTCCCCGCTGTTGGAGTTAAGTGTCCCTCGGCCGGCACTGCTCCAATGCCTATAGGGAACACGGCGAACGCTCGTAACGTGTACGCGCGGTTGCCGAATAGTCCTGCTGACACGTTTAATCGGCTTCTCGTGACGGCTGCAGTGGAAGGAAAGAAACCGTTTATTTATGTGTACGATTTCGGGACCAACTGTACGGATCATATCTCCGAGATGGACGTTCCCCCGTACGCGTTACATCTCGATCTCGAACGGAAATTGACGGAGCAGATTCTATCTGACGCGGGAGGTGTTCGAACTAGCGACCCGAAACAGGCTAGTTTGTTCTTCGTGCCGTTTTACTCTGCCCGGCTGCTACAGCACTACCTAAACGTCTCGAAAGAAGGTGCGAATATGCGCGACGCGGTGGAGAAGACATCGCAGGTTTGGATGGCAATGATTACCAAGGTGCGGCGCGAGCCGCACTTTAACCGATCAAACGGCCGAGATCATTTTGCAATTATGTCGACGCGGAACGGGAGATGCGACGCTCTGACGTACATAAACCCTAAGTTGCTCGGCGAGATGTTCTTCGTGACTTATAACGGGGATACTCTGGTGCAGAGCGTGCACACGGGATGGACACCAGACATGCGGGTAAGCGAATAATTCACGCAACAGCCTTTTTACCACTATTTCTGTCCCATAAAGGCTTTTCCAGCATGCTTTTTTCATAGGCGGGGAAAAAAGGCAGATCTTGGTGTTTTGTTGAGCGAAGCGAACGCGCGTGCAAAGGCTGGGAAGTACGGGGAACGTTGGTATGGTGTGGGTCAATTCTGTTAGCCGTTAGGGTTGGTTGGAACTGTGGAGCTTCATCAACGTTTCTATTCCGGACATCGCTGCCCTGCAATCCTTGAGGCGCCTCAAAAGCTGTGCCATACCCTTCCGCTTGCAGGTGCTGTCATATAACTACGGAGCGCCAATGAACGTCACTATTCCGGACATCGCCTGTTATTCGCCCGGGCGAGACGTGGTGGTGCCGCCGCTGCTGACTCAGACCCACGTCATCCCCCCGAAGCGCGCGCACACTGCGGCTTCTGAGGGTTCTCCCCCCACCTCACCTCCTCTCTACGGCGGCCGTACGATCCGTGTGCTGATGGTGACGTCAGCGAGCAGCATTGCTGACGCGAGCAGCGACAGCATCAAGGTTGAACGCATGCACCATAACTTCGCTGTGGAGAAGTGGTTGATCGAGGTGAGACGTGGTTGATAGAGGTGAGACGTGGTTGATGGAGGTGAGAAGTGGTTGATAGAGGTGAGTCGTGGTTGATGGAGGTGAGTCGTGGTTGATAGAGGTGAGAAGTGGTTGATAGAAGTGAGATGTGGTTGATAAAGGTGAGACGTGTTTTAGGTTTGAGTAAAGACTTAAGTAAGCCTATCAGTTAGGCAAGCATGGTTTTGAGTGTTGCTTCCCTCCCCACCCGCGCTCTTTCCCCCTTTCCCCCCACACCACCCCTTGCCCACACCCACAGCTATACACGTCTAATGCAGCAGCCATCTAAGGGCGGAAGGCGGTGTTTCGAGGCGACAGCGAGGAGACTGGGCTGGGGTGTGTTTGAGTCGACTCAAAACGCTCACTGTCCCCTTCCCCCCACCCACACCCCCCCCACAACCCCCACACACCCCCACAGCTGTACACGTCCAATGCAGCAGCCATCTACGGGTGGAAGGTGGTGTTCCGAGGCGACAGCGAGCAGGCTGGGGTGTGTTGTGAGTCGACTCCAAACGCTCACTCCCCCTTTACCCCCCTACCCACACCACCCCCCACCTTTTCACAGCTGTACACGTCCAATGCAGCAGCCATCTACGGGTGGAAGGTGGTGTTCCGAGGCGACAGCGAGGAGGCTGGGGGGGTCCGAGGGGATGCCTCTGAAATTACTACTGCCGCTGGTGCTGCTGCTGGCGCTGCTGTTGGCGATAGTGCTGCTGCTGGCGCTGCTGTTGGCGATAGTGCTGGTGCTGCTGCTGGTGCTGCTGATGCTGATGGTGGTGCAGCGGGTGACAACAGCGAGTGGGGAGAGAGTGTGTTCTGCCTGGTGCCTCCCGGTCGGGCTCAGTGGACCGTCCAGCTCGCCAAGGTGGGTTTGTGTCTCATCATCCCCACTCCCCACTCCCCACTTCCCACTCCCCACTTCCCACTCCCCACTCCCCACTCCCCACTTCCCACTCCCCACTTCCCACTCCCCACTTCCCACTCCCCACTCCCCACTCCCCACTTCCCACTTCCCACTCCCCACTTCCCACTCCCCACTTCCCACTCCCCACTTCCCACTCCCCACTTCCCACTCCCCACTTCCCACTCCCCACTTCCCACTCCCCACTTTCCATTCACCACTCCCCACTTCTCACTCCCCACTTCCCATTCACCACTCTCCACTCCCGTTTCCTTCACGCCGGCCTTCTTTCCCAGGCAATCCTCTCAGGCTGCATCCCAGTGACGTTGCAAGGCTAAACCGGAACCTCCCCCACCTCTCCCTCCCTCACCCCCCTCTTTCCCAGGCAATCCTCTCAGGCTGCATCCCAGTGACATTCCTCCGCGGCCAACGACAACCCTTGGTCCGCCTCCCTGTATCACCTCGGCCCCTGCACCAGCATTGCAACTTCCTCTGCCTCTGCCTCTGCTTCTGCCTCCCCATTCTTACACACAGACGCCCTTCCCCCCCACCCACCCTCCCTTTCCAGGCATCCTCTCAGGCTGCATCCCAGTGACGTTCCTCCGTGCCAACGACAACCCCTGGGCTCATGCCAAGCTTGGTTCATCCCAGTAACCTTCCTCCCAGCCAAGGCTGCACTGCACCACAACCTCTCCCTCTTCTCCCTCCCCCTCCCCCTCCACCACCCCTCACCAACCCCCATCAGGCAATCCTCTCAGGCTACATCCAAGTGACGTTCCTCCGTGCCAACGACAACCCATGGGCTGCATCCCTCCACCGCCACAAAGCACCACCAGCGTCCGCCTCTACCATCGCTGCTGCCACCGCCGCTGCCACCGCCGCTGCCACCGCCGCTGCCACCGCCGCTGCCACGCCCTCTGCCACGCCCTCTGCCACGCCCTCTGCCATGCCCTCTGCCATGCCCTTGCCCCCCTCGGCCCTCAGCTACCCGGTGTTCTCTCTCAACATCGACCCGGCGGATCTCGACTCGCTCTCCCCCTCTTCTCCCTCCCTCACCCCCTTACCTCCCCTCTTTCCCTTCCCAGGCAATCCTCTCAGGCTGCATCCCAGTGACATTCCTCCGTGCCAACGACAACCCATGGTCCGCATCTCTCCACCGCCACAAAGCACCAGCAGCAGCGTCCGCCTCTGCCACGCCCGCTGCCACCGCCTCTGCCACGCCCTCGGTGCCCTCGGCCCTCAACTACCCGGTGTTCTCACTCAACATCGACCCGATGGATCTCGACTCGCTGCCCCGCCGCCTGCAGGACGCGTTTGATCGCCCGGGGCTCGTGGAGCGGCTGCAGCACAACCTGGGGCTCGTGCAGGTGGGTGTGGGGAAGGTGGGACTGGGGCAGGTGGGACTGGGGCAGGTGGGACCAGGGCAGGTGGGAGTGGGGCAGGTGGGACTGGGGTAGGTGGGACTGGGGCAGGTGAGACTGGGGTAGATGGGACTGGGGCAGGTGAGACTGGAAATTTTGAAGTGGTAAGACTCTGATGACCAGAGTGCAGAGTTGGCTCGTTGGTATCCTCACCTCAAACATTCACTCCCCACTCACCACTCACCTCTACCCATATTCTTCCAACTCCCCGCTCACCACTCATTCCTCACTCTCCCTCCCACTCCCCACTCCCCTGCCTTTGTGCTCATGCTACAGGACACGTTCAAGTGCCATGACTCCCTGGACCAGGGAACAGGGCCGGTCTGTCGTATCCTCCCACAGCATCTGCTCCCCATTCCCCCCTACCCACTCACTCTTCACTCCCCACTCCCCACTCCCCACTCTCTCCCCACTCCCCACTCTCTTCCCACTTCCCACTCCCCTGCCTTTGTGCTCGCGCCACAGGAAATGTTCAAGTGGCATGACTCCCTGGACCGGGGAGCAGGGGAGGTGCTCATGAGCAGGCTGAGGAGGATCGGAGCAGCGGTGGCACAATCGCAGTTGCTTTAAGAGCAAACCGTGTTGCCTCTGGAGTCTAAGAATAAAGGGTCAAAGGAGCGTAGGTGAGGCGAAGATAACAGAAAAAAGCGCCTCGAAAGTGTACAGTGCTCCCCACTCTCTTGAACACGTCGTGAACAGCTTTGTAACACAACATAATTTATTTTTCAACAGTGATACACATCAGCAATTGGTTTTTATATCTCACAAGCCATGCCTTACAAGGGGTGCTTAGAAACGAGAGAGTTTGCAGAAGAGGGGAAAATTCTCCTGCATTGTCGTTCCCACTAACTCAACCTACACGTCGAGCGTGTACTGGTCTCGCAGAGGTCGCTCAGTGCATCGCACAGCCAAATTGTTCGAATTCGCTGCTGTTTCCCCCGGTTTTGAACACGAAATAAGTGCTCGCTTATTCAATAGCGGCATCAGCGAAACGGGGCTACACTGAATGAGACACTCCGAAAAAGCTGTCCGTGACCCTATGAAGTCCAGAAGTTGACAAGCAATCATGTCAGGGTAGGGTCTTTGAGAAAGGCCCGAAACCTGCTGGCACAGAAACCTCAACGCACAGCAGTGTAGTACACACACCACGTTCCTGCAAACTTCGCCTAGCCCGATCCGACGCTGCCTCTGGTGTACTGACCGAACTGTCGGATGGCTGGTGCCGAACGTCCACATTCGCCTATGGCCTGCAAATTCGCCTGAACTCAAACGCCTGTTTGTTGCTTCTGTAACAAGAGATTTGTCTTGTTGGCAGAAACCAGCTAGTCAACGCGAGCCGCCGTTCATACACAAATTCTTTTGAAGCTAGCCAGGCCACCAGTCACCTGGTCACCAGGTGCCATACTCGGCGGTTTGGTTGAAAGCTCCCCAACCAAACCGCCATGTCACCAAGCCACTCACACATCCCGAAGCAAAAACCATCTGGGGTGCTCTTTCTGATAGCTGTTCGTTCGCGCCGCGGCTGTGTAAAACTTCGTGCATCTCATACTCAGTGGGCACTAGACTAGAGTCGTCGAGATGGTTCGTCGTTGGGTGAGTTGAGTTGAGCTTCAGCTTGAGATTTTTGGGCTAGCAGCGGCTATGTAGTGTAATTAGTAACAGCGACATCTGCGACATCTGCGATCAGCGACATCAGCGAGATCAGCATAAGCGACGTCAGCGAAGGTGGACGAATCGCAGTGTAGACCTGCTTCTTCAAGGCACCATCGAAACCTAATCTTTTGCTAATCCACTTTTTTCAGACTTGAGGCTCGGACCGCCTTCGCGATTTCCGGACCGCGTCATGCTCTCGAGGGAGATGCTAGTTCTGGACGTCTCTAAAATCGGAGTCCATGCCGCCAAGATGCAGCAGCTGTTAAATCCGAAGCGCGTTCCCATACACTTGGCGTATGTGGCCGTCGCGTCGTTCATATTAATGGTACTTTTAAGTAGTAGTTCGTATATGCAATCTCAAGATTGCTTCTGTAGAAAACCAGAGAATCCCGAGCTGTCTACCGCCGCCGCCGCCGCCACCGCCGCCGTCATCACCGCTTCCGCCTCGTATCTTTCCGGAGACCTTGCTAACGCAAGACGCGATTTAGGATCCCGTGGAGTTTCCCCCACCTCCACCGCCATTTCCGCGCCTGCGGGAGACTCGCAGCCCGTTCCTGCAGCGACTATCGGATCCGTCTCCGCGTTTTCCGGAGGCGGGGACGACGGCGCCGATGCCGGGGCCAATAAAGACGCAGCTGACGACGATAGCAACCGACCGTTTATTTACGTGTACGACACGCAATTGGCGTGGACGGAGCAGATGAAGGAACGCAAAAAGGAGTGGTTTTCCGACCAATACGAAGTGGAATCCGTGCTGACGGAGCTGCTTATGCGCAGTAACGCGATTCGCACGACGGATCCGGAAAAGGCGATGCTGTTTTACGTGCCGTACTACTCTTCGAACCACATCGCGCACGTAAACAAGAATGAGAAAAACATGATGGATAAGGCTGCGGGGGAAGTTTCTAAGGTGAGTTGCGAGTCTGCTTATTACGAGTCGATTCGTGTCGTACTACGCGTCGAACCACATTGCGCACGTGAACAAGCTGATGAAGAACATGATGCATAAAGTCGATCGGGGAAGTTTCTAAGGTGTACCGTAAGTCGGCTTATATCTTGTTGTGGGGCCCTGTGTAAGGTGAAAACACTTACGTGTCACAAAAAGCATCACATGCATACATGCATCCCATGCATGCGATGCGAGCAAGATAAGGACGGACGAACATGATGGGGGACCTTTTGGGATTCTCAATTGCCCAAGAGTGATTTCAATGCTTCTCCTCTTCTCCTTCCATTTTCCCCCTCTCTTCCAGGCGTGGCACGAGATTCTCAGCATGATATACGCCGCGACTTGCCTTCTTTTGAGTCGTCTCAACAGTCTTTTCTCCTCATCCCCACCGCCGCGCTCTCTCCTCATCCCCACCCCCCCTCTCCCAACCCCCACCTCATCCCACCCCACGCCCCTCCAGGCGTGGTACGAGATTCTTGCCATGATAAGCCGCTACTTCCCCTACTTCAGAGTCACATTTACAATCATCTCTCCCCTCTTGCCCTCTTCCTCTCTTCATCTCTTCCCCTCTTTTCCTCTTTCCTCTTCACTCCTTCCCCCCGTCGCTTCCAGGCGTGGCACGAGATTCTCACCATGATACGCCGCGACTTTCCCTACTTCAACCGCACCAACGGCCGAGATCATTTCAGCACGAGCACGTTCGATCAGGGCCGTTGCCACGCGTTGCCATGGGTCAACCCAGACCTGTACGGCGAGATGTTCTTCGTGATGCTCAACGGGGACCGCCTCGCGCGCACCATCCACTCGTCCAAGGAGAGGAACTTGCAGGTAGGGCGAGGAACATGCAGGTAGGGCGAGGAACATGCAGGTAGGGCGAGGAACATGCAGGTAGGGAGAGGAACATGCAGGTAGGAGGAAACGAACATGCACATAGGCAGTGCACCCTGCAGGTACGCCGTGCATCCATCCAAAGATTTGTACGGATTTGTACAGCGAGATGTTCTTCACAAAGGCCCTCCCTCGTGCCGCACTGCTGAGTCGACTCAAAAGTCAGTCTGCAGGTACGCCGTGCATCCATCCATGCATCCATCCATGCATCCATCCATGCATCCATCCATCCATCCATCCATCCATCCATCCATCCATCCATCCATCCATCCATCCATCCATCCATCCATCCATCCATCCATCCATCCATCCATCCATCCATCCATCCATCCATCCATCCATCCATCCATGCATCCATCCATCCATCCATCCATCCATCCATCCATCCATCCATCCATCCATCCATCCATCCATCCATCCATCCATCCATCCATCCATCCATCCATCCACGCCCAGATTTGTACGGCGAGATGTTCGTGAAGAGCATCCCGCCCGTGAAGAGCAGAGTGAGCAGCGAGATGTTCTTTCTGATGCTTAACGGCAACAGCCTCGCGCGCACCATGCAGGTGTCTGTCGAGAGAAACCTGCAGGTAGGAAATGCACTTTGCCGGTACGGTGTGCATCCATCCATCCACGCCCGGATTTGTACGGCGAGATGTTCGTCACCAAGGACCTCCCTTGACTTATGAGACGTCTCAAAAGTCACCAAGGACCTCCCTTGACTTATGAGACATCTCAAAAGTCACCAAGGACCTCCCTTGACTTATGAGACGTCTCAAAAGTCACCAAGGACCTCCCTTGACTTATGAGACGTTTCAAAAGTCACCAAGGACCTCCCTCACACCACTCACTCGGCTTTTCTTCGCCTTCTGGGACTTGCCCCTCGTCGTTCTTCCAGCGTTCCTTGGTTCAGGGGCTGTCCTGTATTAACCGCGTGTAGTGAGTCGATTTTTGAGTCAACTCAAAAATCGACTCACTCCTTGGTTCAGGGGCTGTCCTCTATTCTCGCCTCCGCATTCTAAGATGGTGTGTTACATTATATGGTAGTATTCTAGGCTTTTGTGACTGTCGAGTTGGGCATGTACCCCAATTTGGGTGTACATTTGTGTTGGGGTGTAGTTTTGAGGCGCCTCAAAACTGTAACCCAATTTGGGTGGGGTGTACATTTGTGTTGGGGTGCTAATGCATCCTCTTGTGGTGGAACCCCCAACACAAGCAATGTGGTGATTGGTGTTCAATCCACATCAATCCCAACCGTGTGATTGGTTCAACCAAACACATTGTGTGACCAATTGTGGTTGAACAGCCAATCACCAATTTGGGTCCCAACCACCCACCTCCCTCCCTTCCATCTTTCTCTTGCATCCGATGTGTACCTTCGTTTTTCCACAGTGAAATCAACTTCTTGATCCACTTCTCTCCTCTCCCCCCCTTCTCTCCTCTCCCCCCCTTCTCTCCTCTCCCCTCCTTCTCTCCTCTCCCCCCCTTCTCTCCTCTCCCCTCCTTCTCTCCTCTCCCCCTCTTCTCTCCTCTCCCCTCCTTCTCTCCTCTCCCCCCCTTCTCTCCTCTCCCCTCCTTCTCTCCTCTCCCCCCCTTCTCTCCTCTCCCTCCCTTCTCGCCTCTCCCCCCCTTCTCGCCTCTCCCCCTCTTCCCCCAAATGCGCAGATCATAGGGTACAGCTACAACATGACCTTGCAGCCGCAGTACCCAGACATCCCCTGCTACATGCCCGACCGTGACATTGTCGTGCCTCCCTTTATTGGTGGCCAGGTGGGTTGTTGACTTTTGATGCCCCTCCAGGTTCGCCTCAACGTCCCCTGTTGTTACATGCCCGACCGTGACATTGTAACAGGGCACCCCGTTGTCATGCCGGCCTTTGTTGGCGACCAGGTGACCGGGCGGGTGGTAACCAAAGGTTAAAAAAAAAAAAAAAAAAAATCGACAACAATGTTGGATTGTTTGAATATTTTTCTCTCCTGCCTCTATGCGTCTTACTTTGTTACCTGTCCTCTCTTTTTTATTCTTACTTAGAATGACCTGCTGTTTCGATAACCTGCTCACATCCTTTTCCTTTCTATGATTTCACAAAAATGACTCAGATTTTGATAACCTTCTCACACCTTGCCATGCCATGCCATGCCACGCCGTCGACATGCCATGACATGCCATGCTATGCCACGCCGTCGACATGCCATGACATGCCATCCTATGCTACGCCGTCGACATGCCATGACATGCCATGCTATGCCACGCCGTCGACATGCCATGACATGCCAAGCAATGCCACGCCGTCGACATGCCATGCCATGCCATGCCATGCCATGCCATGCTATGCCACGCCGTCGGCATGCCATGCCATGCCATGCTATGCCACGCCGTCGACATGGCATGCCATGCTATGCCACGCCATCGACATGCCATGCCATGCCATGCCATGCCATCCTCATCCCTGTCAGCTCATGCCTCTCACTTGCCCCACCCTGCCAGATACCCATGGTGTCGCCCTTCACTGGCAACAGAACCATGCGAGCCATCTTCCGCTTCTCACTCTCTCCCTTGTTGTCGTGTCCCACTCCGCCCTCTCACACCTTCTCCTCTTCACCCTCCCTCCCACCTATCCCCTCAGATACCCATGGTGTCGCCCTTCACTGGCAACAGAACCATGCGAGCCATCTTCCGCTTCTCACCCCGGCAGAACCACAAGGCGCCCCTCGTGCACCAAGGCCACTACTTACGCCCCGAGCTGCTCCGTGTATGTTCAAGGGTTTCGGGTTCAAGAGTGTGTCTGCGAGTGAGGAAAGGGGAGTGGGGAGTGGGGTGGAGTGGGGTGGAGTGGGGAAGGAGGGGTGGGGCAGATAACCTTGTTCTTCTCACCCCAGCAGGCCCACAAAGCGCCCCTCGTGCACCACGGCCATTACTCACGTCCCGAGCTGCTCAGAGTATGTGCGGGGGTGGGGTTGGGGTTGGGGTTGGGGTTGGGGTTGGGGTTGGGGTTGGGGTTGGGGGTGGGGTTGGGGTTGGGGGTGGGGTTGGGGTTGGGGTTGGGGTTGGGTTGTATGGCAGATGGCCTTTTCCCCCCTCTCTACCCGCCCCCCACACACAGGCACAGAGGTACCGCCGGCAGCACATCAAGGGGTGGAGCTTTACACTCACACGCGTTACATACCCCCTCCCCTTCCCCCCGCTTCCTGCCTGCCTTCGTGCAGATGTACGGGCGGAGCCGCATCAAAGGGTGGAGCTTCACAGCGAGGGGGGAGAAGCAGACGAACAAGGAGTGGCAGCTGGGTGTGTTCTGCATCTGCCCGCCCGGCCACTCCCAGTGGACCAGCCGCCCCTTCAAGGTGCGAGTGGGTGGGTGTGGGTCAAACTAGTCAGTTATTCAAGTCAATGAAGTCAATCGAGTCAATGAAGTCAATCTAATCAATGCCACTGCCAGTGGACCAGCCGCCCCTTTAAGGTGTGGATTGCTACAGTCATGGTAACCCAACCGTAGAGTAATTGAAATTTAACTACAAAGTAGCATTAGGGCGTGTCACCATATTATTGGTTGCGGTTCTTGAGAGTTCTCAAAAACCAACTCGTTAAATGAACCACTCGTGCGAATTCGAAGTTACTAAATACTGTCATTGAAATCTTGGCAAACCTCTTCGCAAATGACTGTTCGGCGTCGCACACGGAACGGAACAGGAACAGGATGCAACTTTTCGAAAACACCGCCCCTTTCCATATTCCCCCCTTCCCTCCCCAACTCCGCCCGCACCTTACCCCATTCATCTCCCCCAACCCCCATGTCAGGCGCTCATTTCAGGGTGCATCCCAGTAACATTCTTCCGCGACCACGACAATCCCTGGGACGATGAGCTGGACTACTCCTCCTTCTCCATCAACATCGATCCGGACGACATTGCTTCGCTGCGCTCCCGCCTCGAGACCGCTCCTGTGGAGCAGCTGCAGCGCGGCGTGGAGAGAGTGCAGGTGAGTGCAGTGCGGTGTGGAGTGCAGTGCAATGGGTACAATGCGGTGGGGCGGTAGGTGAAGTGCGGTGAAGTGGGTGGAGTGCGGTTGGTGTTCAAGTGGTATGTGTGTGACTCCCTACACACAAGGGGCAGTGTAGGAGCTTATAAATAACGGGTTGGCTTGGGGGGTCCCCCGTCCCTCACCTGAACCCACTTTTGAGGCGCCTCACTTTTGAGGCACCTCAAAAGTAGACCCCCTATACACAAGGGGCAGACTAGGAGCTTATAAATAACGGGTTGGCTTGGGGGGTCCCCCGTCCCTCACCTGAACCCACTTTTGAGGCGCCTCACTTTTGAGGCGCCTCAAAAGTAGACTCCCTATACACAAGGGGCAGACTAGGAGCTTATAAATAACGGGTTGGCTTGGGGGGTCCCCCGTCCCTCATGTGACCCCCAGTTTCCATCTTCTCTTTCCTCGCCTCCCTCCCTCCGCCCTTGTACCACCAGCACATGTTCAAGTGGTCGGGGAATCACACACAAGGGGCAAAGTACGAGCTTATAAAGAGGCTAAGGCAGCGAGGCAAGCAACTCTCCTCTACCTCCCTTTTCCAATAGCAAGGTGCCTACTACACCAGGGATGCAAGGGATAATAAAAGCTGTTTTTGGATTTGCAAGTGTTCTTTGAGTTTGCTCCTGCCGTTATGTGTGCCACAGTGAAAGAAGCTATATATATTAATATATAGTCACATGTATATAAAGGGATGTGAACCACCATGCCTTTTCTTTTCCGTGCGGAGAGAGGCACTTGTTTACCTACTGCAGAGCTTACCCCTTCTGTAGGTCATAAGTTTTTGTCAGATCTGACTCTTGGTTTTTTGCTAGTGGATTAGCTTTACACGATCCTAAGCATCGCACGCAGCTCACTGTAAGAATGTCACAAGACCTACTCCAGAGAACATACGGTACCCCTAGTAAGTTTTTTAGAACCTTGGCACAACACCCTTCAATGCTCTGTAATGTTTCTATGGCTGACTTCTTCTCTATTGGAAACAATTGATTTAAGCGCCTCTGTCGTGTCGAAACACCAAGTTAGAAGCGAAGCATAACATATCGAAGCATCAGCGAGTCAACCCGCGGAGGTTGAACAACTGCTGGAGGTTACGCGAAAGTCAAAGGTCAGCGACCTTTGACCTGACAAGTACAGCGCGACAGCAAGGACAAACAACTGACTCGCTATTGAGCAGTTGCCCGAGTCGTCACTGTATCGAACCGCAACAGCAATGGTAAAACGGTTATTGGTTATAACCCTTCATATCCCTTTGTATTCTTATAAAAGCTTGTATCTCCCTGCTATTAATCAATCTACTTTGCCCTCACATACCAGCGCAAGGTGGTTCACAATCTTTCATTAAAACGCTTCCGCTATTACATTGTCCTACTCTGAATTTAGTCCTGCAAAGATCCTAAGGGCTTTCTCAGCCCAACATGGTATGAGAGCAATCAGGACAAATTCAACTACAATCAAGACACCTACAACATCACAAGACATGGCAACGCAGAAGGAGAGAAGCTCCTCTAACGGCTCTCCCGGTACTACTCCTACTCCACCTCCTGCCTCTGGCCTACAGACAGAGGAGGGTACGGCAACAAGACCAAGGGCAACGTCTACCGAAACTCCCGCAAATCAAGCCGCGGCCTTCGACACAGACATGATGGAGAAATTCTTCTCCTTCATGTCCTTCTACGAACAACTGTCAGAATCCCAACCACTAGACCATTGGGATAAAAGGGCTTGTTAAGTAGCGGGTCAGTGCGCCCACAACCCCCCAGGACAACATGCCTGTAACCCTTCCCTAGGATCAATCGGGGATCTCCAGTGGACCTCTGACACCCCCCCGCACTGGGATGCCCGAGGTGCACACACTGGGATTCGAACCCGAGACCTTCGCTCTGATACCATGTCAGAATCCCAACCACTAGACCATTGGGATAAAATGGCTTGTTAAGTAGCGGGTCAGTGCGCCCATAACCTCCCAGGACAACGAGCCTGTAACCCTTCCCTAGGATCAATCGGGGATCACCAGTGAACCTCTGACACCCCCCCGCACTGGGATGCCCGAAGTGCACACACTGGGATTCGAACCCGAGACCGCTCTGATACCATGTCAGAATCCCAACCACTAGACCAGTAGGATAAAAGGACTTGTTAAGTAGCGGGTCAGTGCGCCCATAACCCCCCAGGACAACGAGCCTGTAACCCTTCCCTAGGATCAATCGGGGATCACCAGTGGACCTCTGACAACAACACCAACAAGGGGCACCTGCGCAATCAAACAACAGCAACAACAACAACGCAACACCAATGAGCCTCGACGGTTCATCCTACGCACGCGGAAATCAACAACAACAGCCTACCTTTGCTCCGTACGAGCCCCAGCGTGGCTCCGTCAGCTTTATGCCATACCCGCAGCCTGCACCTGGACAAGAAAAGACACTGGACGCACTTCAAGTTCAGTCGCAGTTCGCGCACGTCTTAAAACTGCAAACGACAAGGCCTTTCGACGGAAATGACTTCTTTACCTGGTCATTCGAGTTCGAGCTAATGATGGAAGGCGCGCAGATCCTTGGCTTCTTCGACGGGTCCCTGCCATATCCAACACACGACACACAGTACGACAAGCAGCAGTACACGTATCAGTCAATGATGGCGTACACAATACTACTGAGAAACATCACTCCGAATCAGCAGCAAAATATACGATCTTACCGGGGATACGGCAACTCTGCAGAGCTCGCGTACAACCACCTGAAGAACCTGTATCAAGCAACAGACAGCGTCAATCAAAGTCGGTTAATGGCGCAACTGACAGCAGTCGAAATGAAACCGGGCGAAAAAGGGATGGCGTATATCAGCCGTTGTCGCGAATTGCGCGACAAACTCATTTGATGCGGAGGGTCGATTTCAGAAGACGCCTTCGTCACAGTCATCATCGGCGGTCGCGGTCCTCAGTGGCGCTCCACCCGCGCCATACTCCGAGCCCACGGAAAAATATCAGAAGCAGCACTCTGCGCCGAGATCCACGCTGAGCAGCAAGATATGGACCTGCAAGAAGAACGATACAAGAAGAAGGCATCAGTGCCCGAATTCGCATTCCAAACTCAACGGCGCTACAACAACAACAACTATCGGCATCAACCGAAACCAGTACCTCCGTTCTGTCACCTTTGCAAGACGTCAGGTCACCCCCGTACACACTGCCCAAATCGGCCGCTTCGCCCTTCAAGCAGTCAAGTCGCCTCAATGCAAGCGAATTCGACCTCTCAAGTACAAGCCTCAACAACATCGACGGGACAACCTGCGCAAGGAACAAGAAACATCGTCAGTTGCATGGCACGGCTGACCGACTCCTGCATCACAGAGTCACCACCACATTACTCACCGGAAGAGCAACTCGACAACAGCACGCCTCGCCGCGAGTTACTTCAACCAAATCCGACGTATGCAGCCATCGCTCAAAGCGAGCCGTCCGGGAAAGATACGTGGTTATTAGTGTCAGAATCCCAACCACTAGACCATTGGGATAAAAGGGCTTGTTTCAGTAGCGAGTCAGTGCGCCCATAACCCCCCAGGCTAACAGGCCTGTAACCCTCCAAGGATCAATCGGGGATCTCACAGTGCAAATCTTCTGACACCCCCCCACACTGGGAGGTCCAGGACTTGGCACAGCGGCAACGGCCTGCATGTGCATACACCGGGATTCGAATCCGAGACCCCTCTGATACCATGTCAGAATCCCAACCACTAGACCATTGGGATAAAAGGGCTTGTTTCAGTAGCGAGTCAGTGCGCCCATAACCCCCCAGGCTAACAGGCCTGTAACCCTCCAAGGATCAATCGGGGATCTCACAGTGCAAATCTTCTGACAATTAGATAGCTGCTGCGGACAGCATATGTGCTCTTCAGGACGCTTTGTTCAACGTGAACACCAACTTCAACGCACGGTCGTCATCACCGTCGCCAACAATCAGAATCTGCGCACACGACGACAAGGCGTAGTGCAACTTCAGTCACGAGAAACAAACGTCATACTGCAGATGTCGAAGGTTTTAATAGCAGAAGGGCTCGGTTACAACCTACTGAGCGTCAGTCAACTGATGGCGAAAGGCATCCACCTCGAAGCAAATAGCACCACTCAGGAGTTCAAGTTATACCACGGGAAGGGCGGTCTCTACATCGGGAAGGCGGTCCTGAAAAACAACGTCTTCGTCCTCGACTTCGTCCCAGATCTTGGCACTGCTGACGGCGACGGGATTGTAACTTTTACCTCCTGGACACATCCACCGGATCCCGACCCCAACTTCAGTCCAGAAGGCTTCTGGTACTCGCACACCATCCCTGAGGCAGAACGAACAAGAGCATTAGCAACAATTCAACACTCGGCGGCAGCAGAACCAACACCGGCAGCAGCAGAGACAACATCGGCAGCAGCAGAGACAACATCGGCAGCAGCAGAAACAACGACAGCAACAACGGCAACATCGACAGCAATCGCTGGTCCTTCAACTGCATCGGCTCCAATCGACGACACTCCACCGACTCCTGCGCAGCAGCTTAACCCAACACCACGAGAAGTACATCGAAGCGCAAACTTCACCGCAAGCCTCTACTCCAACTCCGACTTGTACAGTCGCTCACCCGGACATCGAGCTAGCGAAGACATCTGGCACGCACGAATGGGACATCTAAGCAACACAGTGTTAAACAACACAATCAGAGCAGGCGTACTCGACAAAGATTCACTGCTCCTAACCAATGGAAGCGAACTTCGACGAGCGCGTGGAACGTGCTTTACCTGCCCCGAAGCTGACTTACCGCATCGGCCATTCGCTTCTCACCACAACCCCAGCGCACCAACTTACGCACCACTTGAGAAAGTGTACAGCGATATCCTGTACAATCGCGAACCTGGACAAGGAGCATATAGCTACACCATCACGTTCATCGATGCCGCTGCACGTTACGTTTGGCACCTTAACCTTCCGAGCAAGGACATGGCTTTCGAGGCCTTCATCGCTTGGCTCCCAGTAGCAGAACGAGAATCAGGCGTAAAACTAAAAAAAAAATAGTCAGACGGAGGAGGAGGATACACCTCACATAGGTTCAAGCAGTACTTGGTAGAAAGAGGAATCAAGAGGCTCATCTCTCTTCCTTACGCTCACCAGCAGCAAGGCGTAGCAGAAAGGATGAATCGAACTCTCCAGAACACCATGCGCAAATT